AATGGGTACATAAACAACTCTTCTCGAGCTTAATTGCGTTTCTAAATATTTTTATAAAACTGATGTTTTTATATGCATTACAATCGTACTAATTTTAAACCGGGAATAACTTACCCTCTTTGACCAACGACTTAACTGCATTTTAGGATCGAAACTCAAAAGAAAAATTGTTAAAACAGGATGTGATGAATACGTGACTCCTCAAGTAGAGCTCGCGATTAAAAATCGCATTCAAAGTTTTGACTTTCAAAAGAGGGTCTTACGGATATCAAAAGAATTCAAAGCAGGCGCATTTTTTTTATATTTTATACGTTTTTCGAGGCTTGAGTTACATTTTCAAACGCCTTTTGACTCGCGTCGGGCCGTTTATCGCAAGAATTTGATTAATTTCACGGTCATTATTTTTACTTTGATGTAATTTCCACGTACGAAACGGTTTCTCTTAATGCGAAAGTGTCTTGAATGTTATTTATTTCCGAATGACTCCGTAGAATTGTGACTAAAAGAGTAAATGATGTTTAAGAAGACGTATTTTTACAGTGCTGTCATGTTATATTTCTTTCTTTAACATTCGCATTGACCTGATTGCGGGAACACATGGGCACTTTTACCAAATTTCGGCCATATGGTCCGTGTGCCCTTTTCTTCTGACGCGCCGATTTCTAACGAAATCCGTACTCAAAAGGAACACACACAAGCACAATGTTCCCGACACTGTCTTTACTTTATTGTCTCCCCGTTTCTATCGTCGTAAATTACCGGACCGGGTCGTAAAAAAAGGGTCGAAGTACGTCTAACGATTATATTATCAACACGTTCCGCTTTGTTTTGGGAGCGTTCTCTTGCCGAATGTAACCTGTGTGGTCTACGGGATTTCGGGGAAAATGTTCCGGCGAAAACCCGCATTAATTACCTTCGATACGTCCGCCCTGCAAACCTATTTTCCGGGCGCTTTTATTCGATACATCGCCAAGTTCAACCTTCTGGAAAATATTATTAAACGTAAATCGTTTATTTTTATAGCTCATGTGTGACATTATCTTAAACTGAATAGGTAACGTTACGTTTGGTTGAAATGCGAAGGTGAGTATTTTGCTCAAGGTTAGAATATAATAGCAGTTTTGCGTTCGAAAGGGTTACGATTGTGCAAATGGAGACTTGTTCGTACGTAATTCATTTCGCGATTTATTTCTAAATGTCATTTAATCCGTGTTAAATATAAAACTAGACTGTTTATTACATTACAAAATTCGTGGATTAATTTAGTAGAAAAACAATTTTATTATTTTTGTTCAGTTAAAGTGGTTATTTTAAGCCTACAAAGCCCAAACTTCTCCAACAATAGTTATATTAAATTCGAAACTTTTAACTGTAAACTAACCGTTTTAAAACAGTTAGTTCGTTGTAAGTACCACAATATACTATTGTTTAGCGCTTTTAAATTTCCTATTATAGTATAGTAACGTAAGTTATACACACCTTCTAAAGCGCACTTGCCGCGAAACGGGACCATCGAAAAACGAGGAAAAGGAAAACAGGTTTCCGAGTACGCCACAATAATCTGACAAACGACCCCAATTTTTTGCGTCGCGAAACTCCGTGTACTGGTAATTTATATCATTCATTAGCCCGCGAGTTGATGATAAATGTTTCGTCGCTTTTTTTCGGGGTGCAGAGATTAAAACGGTGTCGGGAATTTTATTAAAAGATCTCATTAGGCGTCTTTTTCCTTTCAGGTTTGTTTGATTTTCGAGTCGAAAGACACACTAACAGCAGGTTTATTACGTTTTTGACGAGGGTTGAGTGCAAACGCTTTGAATTTAATGCTGGGGTTAATTATTTACTCGACTTGCGTCATATTCGGGGCGTTATAAATTAAGATTTTATCCTCATTGTCCTGATTAACATCTCTTAATAACATTTTTATTTTTTTAATTTAAATACGATTGCATTTGCAGCATTTATATGAGTAAACTGAAAAAAAATAGACGGTGCACAATCCCACCAGTGGTACTTAAATAACCGTTAAATTCAATTGCTTATCTTCAAATCAAATCGGAAAAATTCATAAGCCATAAATCGTATAATTGGCACCTTTCGATGCGAATCGTTTTTAAACGCTATCGCTTTATTCATTGACAATTGTTTAATAAACACCTACGGTCGTTTTCGATTGCGATCAGATAAAATCGAGTAGGTGTTGAGTTGAGCATAACGTTGCATAAGTACAATGCAATTATACGCGTCGAAATATGCCCATGAGTCGCCGATAAAATTAAAATAATGGCTTAACTTCGCTGCTTTCGAGCTCTAATAAGTTCGATGCATCGATGCACATGCAGTTTTTCCAAAAAGACTACATAATAGAAAGAGCCTCATAAATTCTTTATTTTTTTGGCGATAAAAACTGTGTATAGCAATATTTTTGAGTGTAAGTGAAACATCGCTGTAAAAAAAAAAACGAAAATTTGCTTTCGAGCAATTCCTCTATCACTTTTAAAGTAATTGAAACATAAAAACAGCGCCGGGAAACTTCGCATAAAAACAAGAGGAAAACTAATACTTTTAACAGCTATATTCATAATCGCTGAACTAGATTGCGGCTTCTCGTGCGTTTTTTTACCCAACATCCATTTACTAAACTAGATCCCGGGAATAACAGGAAAACGTTCGCGACTCCCGCAAGCTCGCACACGAGGAAATCTATTACACCGATATAGGAAATTAACGCGCCGCGGGAAAATGTCGTATCGGCGAAAATTTAATTTACAGAAGAAAAATGCGCAGGTTTTGCGAATTCGCCGCGGCCCGTCCATCACGCTGTCATTCGGCGGAATGAATGACGAGTGATGTCGGGCATAATGCGGCGCAATCATCGGTGCATTTCCGATGCGTTTATCATTTTCGTCGCAGGAACGGATAATTGTCCATTCGGCGATGAAATGGTGCGAGACAATGTGCATAAATTGGTGCGGTAACAAGATTTTTCGGCCGGCGGGAGCGCGAACGAAGCGCGTTGAAAGCGACTTTCGATTGAAATCCGATTGATGGTGTTGCAGTTTTAAAAAGATTATTAATTAAAAAGTGGGATATTGTGATGAAAGGGTTGTGGAAAAATTCCAGCATTTGTGGGTTAATGTTAACATGTAAATTATGCATGTTTCCTGAATAATTACATTCGAAAAATAATTTTAAAATGCTATAAAAATCGTAATGTAACCTAATCGATAAAAAACAATTTAGAATTACCTAAAAACCTAAAAAGAAAACTATAAAAATTGTAAAAGATTACATTGTTGGAGGTCATCTTTATTGGTAATACAATCTTCAGCAGTATAATCTATGATGTATCAAGAACTTTCACATTCAGAGTTATCGTGTCGTGTTTTGGAAAATTTATACATTATCGAATTTTATCGCACATGATTTAATGGGTTCGAGGACGGCGCTATGTCAGTAACGGACTTTTTCAATAATACGGACGGATTTAATGAAAATCTATACAGTAATCCTTTTGATGTGCACGCATCCTTTCACATGACGTTCCAATTTTACTTACGACTCGAATGTGGTTATATCCGAGCCTTCTCGGTCTCTATTTATACCGAAAGCCGTGCGTAATGACGGCATGAAATTAAAGCGAAATAGAAATTTTCTGTTTATAATGTTGCTCATTAGTTTTAGGAAGTTCGTTAAAAACCGAATATTTTATTGGATGTGTATATTATAGACCCACAGGACAATGCGCAGAGATTTATAGTTGTGAAACACTGTTTTATAAAAATTGTAGTGTATAGGATCCATACTATATTTTTCGATAAACATAAAATCGCTTTTATATCGACATCGTCGAAGACCATTTATATACATGAAGCTTAATTAAATTCCGTTTCCATTCAACCTGTTCTAGATTCTCTGAACGTATTTTATCATCCACCTTTTCGCAAGTACGGTAAAGACACATCAACTATAACGTATATTCAATGAAATTGCGTTTCTATATTCGGTTTCTCATTTCCCTATATCACGTGAAAACCACTCTCATTTCGCGGCATATGGCAAGCCATCGAGCTATTTCCAGTTTTACGACAACATTAGCGAAAAAACAATAATCGCGTGATTCGATGAAAAATTAATTTAATCGGTTCAACTCATTTTTCTAATTGCTTGGCGTGGCGCACTTGCAACTTTACTCTTTACACCCCATCAGTGCCGACCTTGGCATTTGTGGAATAATTTCATTATTAACGGGTAATGGCTTTGCCGAATCGATAATACTGCTGCTCTAATTAATACTAGAGACGTGGTAACAGCTTATTATTACAGTATAATTTAATTAAACTCCTATTTTTTACCCCATTTATACATAATTTATTTGTATTTTTTTTGTATTGAAGTCATAATTGGAGATTACTATAATATGTAAACGATACAGTTTAATTGATTGTTGCCATAGGGAGTTACTAATTTAGTATGATTTTTCAAAAAGCTAATAAATAATTAGCTACATAAATAATAATCTCTGAACAATGTATAATGTAGCTAAACATATTGCCCGCAATATTTCTTCCGTAAACAATAGTCGACTTTCGTGTTGCCGCCTTTGACCTTACGATATTCTATGTACGTTATAAATTACAGTCGTTATTCAAAAATTAATTACTAATTCGTTATCTCGAGGGGTGTGACTACGTGCGACCTTTCCCATCTAGCTATCAATCTACCCGGTTTTTATACTCTTTCAACGCGTAAACTGACCCTGAATCGTCGAGATATTATCGTAAAAAAAGGATTAAAAGCGTTTACGGGATTACGCATCACGTTAATTTAACTCGTTTTAACGCCACAAATAACTTCGTATCAGAATATCATAGTCAAAAAATACACTAATGTCATACACATGAAGCTTTGGTGGTTAGAAACAGTAGGCACATTGCAACTTTTACCGAATGACTTGAGAACCTTGGTAGATTGTTAATTATAAAAATTCTTGGTTTCAGCCTCCGCCAGTCGCCCGTCAACAAAGCCAACCGGCGGAGTCCCAAAAGGATGATCGCCTGTACGCGAACAACAACATCAAAATATCGCCGATCGCGACGCCGGCCGGTCAAACGCCGCCCTCGTCGCCGCATCAGCCCACCCAGTCGCAGAGGCTCCTCCAGGAGGTCCTGTCGCGGCCGGGGCCCTATCCGATGATCGCCGTGCCGCCGAAGGGCTACTGGGTGGACGGGAGCGATCACGACGAACGGTTCGATCACAGGGGATCGCCCATCGTCCCGCACCCGAACTGGAGGGCCAAAATCGAAACCGACGACACGGCCAAATGTTACAGAAGATTCTTCGTTGGCAGGGTGAGTTTACCTTCTCGTCTAATTTATTATATTGCAAGCTCATTTTTGCCTAAATTTGATAAACAGTCGGGAATAGTGAGAGATTAATCTACCATCAGGATAATACGTTTCTTTGATTTGGGGGTTTATTTCTTAACATTTTTCCTCTTAACTCCATTTCCACATTGACTGTGATGACAATTGGAGATAATCTGCCGGTCGTTTTGATTCAAGGAAACAAATACGTCGTTGATCGGCAAACTTTTCCACCCCTTTTCTTCGTTAGTCGGGAAAGTTTCGCTTTTCCGGATCGCTTGTACGCCGGCTTCGGGTGTTATCTCGCCTCTGCCGGAGGCGCAATTTCGCCGGAACAAATTGGTCCTGATTGTCGAAGATCAACGGGGATTTTTTTTGGCAGGATTTCGGCTCGCGAATTAGTCGCCGCTAAATGGTTTCTTATTTAGAAATGTCGCCATTTCCAAATTGCTGATTTTATCGTTTGCGCGCAGAAGTATTTATAAACAAATATTTGCACGGGTTGAGGTTGTTAATTCAATTGCAGGCAACGTTTTGTTGTATATTTTCCATCGTATTGTAATTGTAATGAACGTTCATTGTCCTCCTTTGCCGTAAACCAATGTGTAAAACGTCAAAAGTACAAAAGAAGTAAATGTAAAAATACATCTACATTTAACAATTTTATTCGTGTGTAGCATCTGATTTTTTTGTACTAGCAAGCAGATGTACTTTAATGACACGATTGTGTTTTGTTGTAAAAACAAATGAGGCTGATGCATACAAATTTTTTAATTAAAATTACCGGGCTATTTTAGGCGTATTCGTTTAAAATATTCTTTTAATTAAAAATAGGCAGGCACGCGAAATAAATTAATCATGCAGCGGGTAATTAAACAAGTTACGATCGAGTATAATAATAATCGCAGCCGAAGAAATTGTAAGTGTTAAAATTGAAAAATGAAATTGAATCTGTCGTTGCGCACGATTTCACTTACAATCGCTTATTCAAAAGTATACGGTTCTTGGTCTGCTGCGGTCCGCCGTTTTACCTACCGTGTGTGTACCATTAAAAAAAATTAAACGTGTATTCCACCTCTCGTATGTGTTCTCACAATTCGCGATCCGTCCGCAACAGACGAAAGCCTACGACTTATTCCGTCGGCTGGTGAAAACGTTCGTTGTCAGACTCGCAGACGAGCATACCCGGTATTATTCCAAAATTACAGAAAATTTTTCATTCCATTCCCCGCGAGCTTACAAAAAATTCGCCTACTGGAAGAAGACGGATCGGATTTGTTTGTTTTACTGACCTCGCCGTCGACAGCTGATTCTTCGACGGAGCGTAACGGAATCGTGAGAGGCAAGGAGGATATTATATCCTGCGGGTGTATCCATCCGGGGCCGGCGACCGTATTCCCATGAGCAAAGGAGAGCCCGTATATCCCGCAACGCTCCGTTGGTCTCGCGAGCTCATCCGAAATGCCAACTATAGAAATATTTTCGCCGTGTACGCTTTCTGAGGACTTTCTTTAACGTTCTATCTCTTCGACGTTATCTCTTGGTACATGACTCGAATTCATGTTTACGTCGAAATTGCTCTAATGTCGGCGTTTTGTTGTGTGTACCGAGGAAAAAGGATGAGCCCGAATTGGTATGTTTGCATGATATGGAAGAAATGTATTATGGAAACTTAAGAGTTTAAATAGTATGGATTTCAACGGTCAATGTATAAAATTTAATAACGAAAATGGTTCATAAATTTAATCTTTTACCAGATGATTATCAAATGTACTTAATTTTATGCGTGATTTTAGAATCACTCTGTATATTTCTTTGATATTAAATGCACGTAAACTCCACAAGAAAATGAATAATGAATTCAACAATGCAGGTCTGGCTTAATGATTAACTTTACATCTTCTACCATTTACTACCTACGAAACACCTTGTAGATTAAAAATGTCGGTATAGAAATATTTCGAGAAGCAAAGTAGCATTTCTATACTGTTATCGATTTTCTATTAAGAAATAATGTATTTGTAACGCAGTAGCGTTACCTATATGTATATACCTATAGGTGAAAACGTGACATGCTTTTAAATTTATCATTGAATTGTAACTTTATTGAATTTCCTATTTCACTTTGTAGCGTAACGTCGATTTTCCGAAAAAGATTGATTGCGATAACGCTTTCGCAAGTTTACTTCGTTACTTTTTGTAGCTTTAATACTTGTTTTTCGGAGGTATTACCGAACGCAATTTAATTACATTTTTCTCAAACATTCAAGTCCGGACCTGCATACTAATAACACGGTTAATTAATAGGTAACTAAAGAGCTATATCATTAGTATTGTTCTTGTTAGTTACTGTGTGAGATATTTCCCATTCCCAAGAAAAACAATGGGGCAATGTGGTTTTGACAGTTTTAAAGTCGTTAAAGATATAGCTGAAGCGGATGTGGAAATTGTATCTCGACGGTTTTTTTCTTTTCTTTTCTTCGCTCTTGACGCGTATTTTTTTATTTACAATCCGTTCTTTTTCGTCTGCGAGGCGTGAAATTTAGGCACGTCCGTCGGCGGAAGATCCGAGGATAAGAAAATTACAGTAAGACTCGTATGCATGCGCGCAAATGTAAATTAGGGTTGAAATTGAAACAATATTTTCACAGACTCATGTATGTAATATAATTAGGACTTCATTAGAGTACGTATTTCAGTATGTTAATAAGTTTACTGACGAAGTCGTTGAATAGTGTTATTTTTCCGATGAATCTAACCAGTTCTAGAATTAGTTAATGCACTAGTAAATTGCATATATTAAATCACAAAAGGGTGTGTTTATTTTGCGTTCCGAATAAACGCTGTTTAAGTATGTAACGAAAATATTTGTGACCGGCTTTTCGCGTGAAGAGGTTTCAAACAAGTCTTCGTTTAATATTTAAATCCCCGGAGTCCGGTTGTATATTATTTTCGGCGGTTTCGAGAGGATTTAAAACAGTGAAACGATGTCGATAGCACTCAGCTGCAATGCAACGAGATGGCTATAAAGGACGTCCCAAAATATACATCGAAAATTTCACTACTTTTTATACGAATGTTTGTTTAATATCAACAAAATTTTGAGTGGTCCTGTATGTAAAATAACCAATTCGGTAAATTGAAATGCCTTGTTTTCAGCCAGCTTGTTTATTTGATTTAGAAATAATAAAGTTGCTGGGCGAATAAACTCATCTTTTATTAGAAACAATCAGTATTACCTGCCTACACATGCATACGCACTCACACAAAGCCCGACCACAGTCGCACAATGGGCTAGGCTCTATCTCTATCTCTAATATCGCAGCCACATTGGCGCGCCGACAATCCGAGTATTTTTCCCAAACTTTCTCGCCCACGCCATCCGAAAAACTTTTATTATTTCCAACTCATTATGCTCCGCTCTATTGTTGTTAGAACATAATAGAATCAAGGAGGTCAGAACGTATGCTTAGATAATAATTTTCGTTGACAATGCGACGTTTCGTCCCCGCCCTCTTCGGGCACTTTCCTCCGTAAATTATTCGTTAATCATAATGCAATCCGCACGATTCGTTACTTTCAAAAAAATGCACCTTTAAATTTATATACGCGATGGGTTAGAGAGGTATTATTAATTCCGTGTTTTTTTAATTATACCTATTCGTTTTCTTGACCATAAAAATCAATAGAATAAAAAAAACAATTTAACAGAATGATAAATCTAATTATAATAATTATTGTTTAATGTTAGATTTTGGATTTGCACCTACATATCTGAGAACACGTGTTCGTTTTCTTAAAGGAAAACTACCTGTAAATTATTTAAAATAAAAATTCATGGAATCATTGCGAAGCGCATATGTGTACAAGAAAAACAAAATGTTTGGCATAATATTGCAATGGCACATTCGGTGTAATATAATAATAATAACAATGCACGTGTTGGTTAAAAATTAAACACAAAAAACTAGGGGAAAAGGAGAATTAACACGAAAATAAAAAGAATTTTTATAGTTGTCAGGCACGTTTTATAAATGCCTCATCTAATGAGATTAGTATGTTTAACATTTTCAACTGGTAGATTTTTCTCTCTTTTTGAAGGTATCAACTTTCACGTGGATGAGTATTTTTAGTTCCCGGCTCTCCGGTTATTTCGGCTTTATTCGTTCGCTAGTATAAAAAAAAATTTACGCTGGAAAATTGTATTTTTAGGAGCATTCCTCCCTGATAGGCCACGACGAAACCCATGGACCTGTGCTACTTTCGATTAAAACCGAAAACGTAGCGAACCAGGAACACACGAGAATTCTGCTGAGGCTCAGGAGTGGTACCATGCACGAAATAGTACCCACATCATGTCTGGGCTCCGCACCGTCGCCCGCCAAAATGGCCAAACTCCTCAACGAACAGGTTGGTCTAAAACCCCAATCCGATCGAAGGGCCAATCGAACCTAATCACGGGTTTTATTTTGTAGTTGAACGTGGAAAATTTTGTACCTGTCTTGCACCCCAAAGCCTCCCAACTGATAGCCAATTACGACGAGCACGTTCTAGTGAGCCACTTCAAATTCGGCGTTTTGTACCAACAGTTCGGCCAAATCGACGAGGAGGAGCTCTTTTGCAACAGCATCACCACGCCGGCTTTCGACGATTTCCTAACCTTGCTAGGACAAAGGATCCAACTCAAAGACCACAAAGGGTAATTACGCTATAATAGTCCACTTATCGATGAATCAACGTCATTTTTTTGTAGATACCGAGGGGGATTAGACATACAAAACGGCCATACCGGCGACACGGCCGTTTACGAAATCTTCAAGGAACGAGAGATCATGTTCCACGTGTCGACGCTGCTCCCGTTCACCGAGAACGACCCGCAGCAGTTGCAAAGGAAGCGGCACATAGGCAACGACATCGTCGCCATAGTGTTCCAAGAGGAGAACACGCCGTTCACGCCCGACATGATAGCATCGCATTTTCTGCACACATTCATCGTGGTGCAAGTCATCGATCCCAATTCCCCGAACACAAGGTCAGTATTTATTCATTCAAAGCGGAAAAACGTTCGGTTTGTAGTGCATAGTTCGAAAAATCGAGTCGACCTATTTGTTTAGTCGGCGAATGCAGCTCGCCAAAAAGATAAAAATCGGCGAATTTGCATGCATTTGGAACGCCAAATTATTATTAAACCACTTGGTGGAATTACCTCGTGGACTATTTTCTGGTCCTTTACTTCCCATTTATCCTGCGCCGGGTTTCTGATAGCATTTAATTTGTATACGGACACCAGGACCGGTCTTTCTTCTGCGCCAAACGCCGCGTCGCGGCGCTATTAAACCGGCGAAACCCGACCCTGGAAAAGGTGGACTTATTTTCAATTTTACGAGACCGATTTAACATTTCATTGCCTTAACGGCACGAGATTCGTGTTTCCATCACAATAAAGGCGGAGACCGAACGAAACGAAAACGACGCTTCGACGGCAAAACGAACACAAAAATGTCTATCAAGATACGAGTGAGTTTCGTTAAATTGCCTAATTACAAATTCAAAAAAAAATGCGTTTAGGTTACTAGAGCAACTAGATCTCTCCTTTGCATCCATAAACTCCACCCTCACTTCATCAATTCCTTATATGCACCTCCTTTATTTCTATTATCATCAACTCCCCAACATATATTTTTATGAGCCAGCTTGTAACTCTAATAATACGAGTGTACCCTTTGAGGGTAACCTTTTATAATCCTTCTTCGATCCCTTTTATGGCATTCCATAATCTCGGCTAATTTCCCTCGGACTCGGCGAGCGCCCCCCAAAAGGTCCCTCGTAGGTTTCGAATCGATAAATGCATTTATTGCATGTTCGGAAGATTTGCAAGCCGCAGTCGAACGGACGCGTGCATGCAAAGGTTTTTAGAAAATGCGGAAACGGTCGTAAATTTAGGCGGAAAAATCTTATTTATTTTTCCACTGTACGTGGATATGCATATTTATAGATGGAAATCGCTGTTTATGTGATTTACAAATGAATTAATAGCAGGGTTGTTCGGAAAATGTTTGCAAAATTCGTGATTTTTTTGTGTAAAAAAAGCGAAAAATTGTAAGAGGGCCCTATTACAATAGCCCAAGTCAAAACAACCCAGAGGCAAAATAGCCCAAAGATAAAATCTCCCAAGATGGAACAGCCTTGACAAAATAGCCCAAAGACAAGCCCCAAAATAGGAAAATAATAAAAACCATTAAACAACCTCTATTTAAAAAATATCTTAAGACACTCTGCAAATCTAATAAATAATGCTTGCTTATAGGTCATTTTTCCTGAACTGTTTTTCTCTTGGACGATTTTGTCATTGGGCTATTTTACCTTGAGCGGTTTTGTCTTTGGGTTATTTTGTCTTTGGGCTATTTTGTCGTTGGGCTATTTTGACGGGTCACGACTATAATTTTCGAATTAATTCACGAGTATTCACAAGTTAATTTTCTAAATTTCTACATTGATCTTCAAAATGGTATTTAATTCTTTATATTATTGCTGCTGTAGGTACAAGGTGAGCGTAACGGCCCGCGACGACGTCCCCTTCTTCGGGCCCACCCTGCCGACACCGGCCATCTTCAGGCACGGCCCCGAATTCAAGGAGTTCCTCCTCACGAAGCTGATCAACGCCGAGAACGCCTGCTACAAGGCCGACAAGTTCGCCAAGCTCGAGCTGCGGACGCGCACCTCCCTGCTGCAATCGCTCACCGAGGAGCTCAAGCAGAAGACCACCGAATTCCTCGGCGGCAACGCCAACCTGACGCCCGGCACGCCGAAGAGCGACTCCGGCCCCGGCTCGCGGTTCATAGACACGGTGAAGAAGGCGTGGAGCGCCCGCGTGAAGACCAGCCAAAGCGTGGACAACAATCTGAGCACCAACGGGCACGAGAAGCTCTCCAAAAAGGGCTCGCAACCGACTATATCCGAATCTACGCCATCGGTGAGTTCAGCACCAGCACAGACACCATTCCTCCAACTCATCGCTTACGCCTTTTACTTATACTCGACAATTTCCAGAGCGGCCGATCGATCTCCAAGGCTTCCATGACCTCCAACGGCAAGAAATCGAGCAGTCCCACGTCGTCGACGACGTCCTCTCCGGACCTGACGGCGCACGCGCACAACAGGCAGGCCCCGTCCGAAGCCAGCGACGATTCCTCATTGACCAGCGAAGAGGACCTGGAGCACCTGGCGGGCGGTTACATCGACAGCGATACGGGCCTGGAGAGCATGTCCAGCGCCGAAACGGCGGCGAAGGCGTGCAGCCTGTGCCAGGACAGGCCGGGCAGCACCGCCGGGCCGACGCTGGAAAGCCTGATGCAGGAGGTCGTGCAATTGAAGTGCGATAAATTGGACCTGTTGCGACAGAACGTGGTAAGTGTCGGATTTTTACCTCTCCGATCGGAGTATTGAGTAGCGCGAATTTTCTTCCAGAACTGCCAACGGGATTTGAAGAAGTTGCGGGAAAGGGAGCTGGGCCTGCAAGGGGACCTGGCTCAGGCGACGAAAGAAATCTTGAGGCTAAGGGAAGCCTTGAAGGACTTCAGTCCTAAATGCGACAGATCTCCTATGTAATATTTTCCATGAGTTGAAAACATCACAGTTCTTTTATTTTATTTTTTAACGGCATTTTCGATTGATTACGAGTTTCTCGAACTCGTATGATTTGAAGGGAAAGTCTGAACGGAAAAAATGTCAATTAGATATGTTCGTACATTCAGAACGCAGGGCGGTTCGATTTGCTTTACAAATTGGTGGAATTATTTTTTTTGTGAACCGTCCTGTTAATATTCACTTTATAAAAAAATGAATTCCTGAACTGTTATTTTTTTTCGTTTTGTGATATTTTTGTATTTTGATTTTTTTTTGAGAACATTTTATTTTTTAGTTTTTTAATAATTTATTAATATGTACATTTATTCTGTAAATTTTTATCAAAATAAAAGAATTTACCGTCTTAATACCAAAGTTAACATTCCTTTTTGAAAATTCTGACTCAGAAATTTAATTAACATAAGTGTACATAACAAAGTATTTATTAGGATTTAAGTTTTTTTTGTATTAAAAAAATGGTAAAAATAATTAGTAACAATTAGTTTGTGCAAATATTGTTATAGATTTTTTATTTTTACTGTGTTCTCGATTTTTTTTTAAGTTTGTTCTATGGAACTGGTTCACAATCACAAAAATTTGATTTACCTGTTAGGATCATTAAGCACATCAGTATTAATCCTAGAGATAATGAAAAACATCTACTTATTTCTTATACCACTCTTATGCTTAAAAAGCGCTACTAACCGTTTCATTTTTATTAGTAAACCGTTTCATTTTGTATATTTTCTTCATTTAACACATTTTTGTGATTGTGCCAATTCCAATTGCAATATTTATACTATGTACTAATCATTAGATTGGATGTAGAATAGGTAGGTTGTGTACATAAACTTTCTCACTTGCTTTCTGATTACCAGTACATGTTTAGAAAATGTTTTTTCGTTATTTATGTGAAAACATTAAGTTAATAAGCCGTCTGCGTGTTCCAGACTTGTTTTTTTAATACCTATTTGTAAGGATGCAGAAATTTCCAGATTGCTTAATATACAAAGGGTTGCGGAATATGCCAATATTTGGTTGACTGTACCTAAATTTGACAAGTACATTTTTACAAGAATTTGGAAATTTCAGCACGAATAAAGCACGAATGTTATTTAATTATTTTCGTTCAAAATAAGGCAGTAAAATAAACAAATTACGTATTTAATACATGTAGTATGGTTTTAAGAAAAAAAATAATGCACAAATCTATGTTGTTTAATAATTTACTCGAAGTACTTGCAATTTTATAACTACCCTTTTAGTTTTTGACGTTTCTATTTAAATAATCGAGTCTTATTTTGCATGAATAATTGATAACTATTCCAGAAGACATTTCATTTTTATTATCATTTAAGTCTTCATAATTTGAGTGTTTTTTTCTATAAGTTATTTAACTGATGTTTTTTATTATGTACCTTGTTTTTTGTCATGCCGGCATTAATTTTTGCTGCATGCTTACATCAACATCTTAATAAAATAATTATCTATGTGAATAATTTTTTCCTATCCTCCCCAACATCACAACAATCATAAAAAAAGAACACTTGGTGTTCTTTTCACAATAACAATATAACTAATAACGATGTCACAATAATTGTGATAAAAGAATGACTGATACAGTCGGTGCAAAACGAATATCAATGCACGTCACTACTGTCGTCATACTTGCCAAGCATTGTGACCAACTTTTGAAAATAAATACACAAAATAGATTAAGCTTAATACCTGCAGAATTTAACTTAATATTAACAAGGGATGATAGAAAATGTTAAAAAGCAGAATTAAATTATCCAAAAAAATACATATTGTCAAAATTCAACGTTTTTAAAAATATTTCAGATGATAAAGGAATTTGATAATTAATTATAGTGAATCCGCCGTTTAGAAACGTGAAACAGGTACCCCTAATTTTCAATGTGTTCTTGTCATTTTTCCATTTGACAATTTTTAGAAAATTCTTAGATTTTCTAAACTCTATAATAGTTCGGCAACACTGCCAACTTGTTACGTAGAAAAATCATAGATGACGTGCATTGATATTTGTTTTGCACAGACTATATTCTACCTGTATCGAGCTTTTGCTAAAAAATATTTGTGGCATAAATATGTATTTTAAACAATTCGTGTATAAATAAAATTTCATTCGGAATCGGCACTGTTCCTTTCGAGCAAAGAAGCCAGTTCCGAGGGTTCAGTTACCGGTAGGGCGCAAGTGAAATTCCTGCACACGTACGCCGCTGGTTTGTGCTCGACCGATACCAATCGAGAGAGAATCGGGTGCCGTTGATACAATAAACTAGACTTACCAGACGGCCCGTCCGCCACCGCCAGAATCGTCCCCGGCATGAAATGCGTTCGAACGACGTCCAATAGGGCTTTCGTGCTCGTGTCATCCATCGGACCGACTATAAACACCTAAGAACAACGCGTTATTTAACTAGACGTTTTAAGAGAAACGCTCAAATTTACCTGATTGAGAGACTCGTGGTACAACATCAAAGCGGAGGCCATTTCGGGCAAAGCGATGGGTATGGACAGCAATCGTTCGGAGAACGTTTTCAACAAATTCCCCGCCCTTTCCTTATAATCTTTTCTCTCCAAGTAAGCGCTCAATTTGACGAGATTCTGCGCCGAGATGGAATTGCCGCACGGCTCGGCGCCGTCTTGGTCTTCTTTACCGCGAAATAGCAAGGACGAATCGCCCTCCGGGCTACCGAAATACCCGCCGTCGTTGGTGTCCCAGAATTTATCGTTCTGGGTTTCTTGCAACGATTCCGCCCATTGCAGCCACTTCGTATCCAACGTGGCCTCGTACAGATCGATCAATCCTCTTATGAGAAAGGCGTAGTCTTCCAAAAATCCCGGTATAGCAGCATGTCTGGAAAATAATATAGCATAGATAGTTCTCCATGTAATGATAATGCAAAATCGTACCCTAAGCTTATCGAATTATCGCCGTCCCTGTAGCAGCATCTTGTTAGAGTTTTATCCTCGTTGTACAAATATTTCTTAATAAACTCGGCGGCTTGTACGGCCCGTTTGACGTAGGATTCATCGTTCAATGCAAAACCGGCTTTAGCGAATCCGGATATCATCAAACCGTTCCAAGATGTTAGAATTTTGGTATCGACGTGAGGTTTCGGTCGTGTCTGTCTGACTTGGTACAACACATCGTGTGATTTGGACAAAATTTCCTTCACTTTTTCAACTTCTATGCCGAATTTGTTGGCCGTGTTTTCGTACGATCCGAAGCAGGCCAGGACGTTTTTCTTCGTCAATTCGCCGTGGGGATCTTGCGATGGTTTCACGTTACCCTCTTTCCTGACGTTGTAATGGTAGGCTACAAGTTCCGCGTGCGATATATCATCAGTTTTAGCGTCGAGTAAGTTGAATATTTCATCGTATTCCCAAACGCAGAAAGCGCCTTCTTGTTTATGAGGTGCTCCTAAAATTATAAACATATAATTAACTAAATAAGTAGTATTTCAATGGTATCGATATACCTTCATAAGGATAGGAATCGGCATCTTCAGCACCGTAAAAACCACCGGTTTCGTGACTTAGATCTCTCGAGACATACGTAAGGATGTCTTTGACAACATCGGAAAAGAAATCTTCTTTAGTAATGACATAAGCGTCGCAATATGAAATCACTAATTGCGCTTGATCGTACAACATCTTCTCGAAATGCGGTACGTGCCATCTTTCATCAACTGAATACCTGAAGATTATCATAAATAATTAACAATAAGAGAGCTCGTAGTAAAATTACAAACCTTGCAAATCCCTTATTCACGTGGTCGTGAATACCTCCGTACGCCATCTTCCTCAACGTGTGCAAACACATTTCCAAACATCGAAAACCCTGTTCGCTCTCTTTTTGTCTGGAATACACGTGGAATAGGAAGTTGAACAGAACTGGTTGAGGGAATTTCGGCGAGGAACTGAACCCTCCGAAGTCCGGTTCGTAGTTTCGAGATATCTGCAGCAAGCATTTCTTCCAGCAATCCTCTCCGGGTACGTTATTCGCATCGGTGTTTTGGTGAGAATGAGCTCGCTTTAGTATATCCAGTACAGTTTTGCCAGATTTCGCCATTGCTGCTTGATTGTTTTTCCATTGTTCAGCGATACTTTTGAGTATCGTCTTGAAACCTGGTCTGCCGTATTTATCTTCAGGTGGGAAATAGGTCCCGCCGGTTAAAGGTTCTAAACTCGGGGACAGAAACACTGACATGGGCCAACCTCCTCCCCCTACAGTGGCTTGTATGAAACCCATGTACAATTTGTCAACATCGGGACGTTCTTCTCTATCTACTTTAATGCTAATGAAGTATTTGTTCATTATATCGGCTACTGACTGATCTTCAAACGATTCCTTTTCCATAACATGGCACCTACAACACAAATAATTTCTATAAATAATTAATAGAATTTGATAAGTACATACCAATGACAAGTGGAGTATCCAACAGAAAGGAATATTAATTTATTCTCGGTTCTGGCCTTTTCGAAGGCTTCTTCGCCCCATGGGTACCAATCGATAGGGTTCGTGGCATGTTGAAGTAAATAAGGGGACTTCTCTAATGCCAGACGATTAACTTTTTTGGATGATGAACTTGCTTGTGCGGACATATTTCGAATATCTAAATGGAAACTGGAATTATAACTGCAGGTACTAAACCTAAAATGACAAATCAAGAAATAAATATTGACATCAACTATTACTGACGGGTTAAAACAATTTAATTTTGTTATTCAAAATACCTTTTATTTAGGATACAAACTGGTTGTCTGGGTTTATCTATCACGTATGATGAGTTTTTTACGTAAATAGTATCTTCGTTATTTAGGCAAATTCTTCGAGAAAGCCATAGAATCCTATGCCTGTACATGTCTTATGATTTAAATAACATTTTCTTGTTATATTTCACCCACTAATAACTTTGCATATCAAAACAATCTACATATTTATTCCTGAAATTTATTGTGAAAGTCATAGATTGAAAAAATTGAGGTTAAGGTTATTTTTAAATGTCAATGTCATATGTCTTAAAAAATATGAAATATGTTTAGTACCTAAAAAATTGTTTGATGGAGGCATGATTTATTATCCAAATAATAAGAAGAAGAATTTGACATATTTGACATTGAAGTATTTTGATGAAATTCAACTTTTTTATCACTTTATCACTACTTTTTTTTTAATTCAGTTCTTTCAAAGTAAGATTAATCAAATATTGTGCTTGTTTTGCTTACATTCAGATTAGGAAAATTCATGTGCCAATTGTCGAAGTTAAATTCGTATTATGCTCAAATTTGTGCATGCACACATACCTAATTGTATTGTAAATTCGGCCACAGCCACATATTTTAAAGGTAAATTTGCTTTAAATCTTAAATGCAAGTGCAACACGAAATAATAATCATACCATCTTAATTCTGACAACCGTTGACAACTGGAATTAATCCTTACTTCATAAATTTCATAACTTGTAAATTATAGTTTTTTTTTACCTTACAATTATGTTCTTCAGATTATTCCTCAGCTTCTTTTTTTGATACAAAAAGAACATGTATAACAACGTAAATTATTTTACAGCTCGAGCTTGTTTGAACAACGGTTTTCGAGGACATCACAGTAATCAAGCCACCGTTAATTTAAAACCAATGAAGATCCAAATACTTCCTGCTCTCACCGACAATTACATGTACTTGGTGAGTTCATGATTTATCCCCGTAAATCAATCATAATTCTAATTATCAACAATGCTAGATTACAGATGAGACTACTAAAGAATCAGCTGTAGTCGATCCAGTAGAACCCGATACGGTTTTGCAAGCCGTTAGTGCTGAAGGATCTCGTTTGACAAAGATATTAACTACTCACCACCACTGGTAGTCACTCACAAATATCCCTAGAATTGAATTAACTGACTGTTGTTTATAGGGATCATGCTGGAGGTAACGAGCAGCTCGTCAAAAAGTACCCGGGGCCTTTACAAATCATCGGAGGCGATCAAAGAATAGGTGCTTTAAATACCTTGGTGAAAGATGGAGACTCGTTCAATATCGGAAACATAAAAGTAGATTGTATCTACACACCTTGCCACACAACAGGCCACATTTGCTACTACTTGTCAACTCCTAACCAAGTGCCTGCTGTGTTTACCGGTAATTTATAGAATGAAAAATAATATCGATTCTAGAAATTAATTTGTAGGCGATACGTTATTCGTGGCTGGTTGCGGAAGGTTCTTCGAAGGTACTCCCGAGCAAATGTACACAGCGCTCGTGGAAAAACTGTCTCGTCTGCCCGATGATACGCGAGTTTTCTGCGGACACGAATACACGGTGCAAAATCTAAAATTCGCTCAAACTGTCGATAGCAATAATCCTCAAGTACATAGGAAATTCGAATGGGCTGTTGACAAACGAAGCAAAGGAGAACCGACTGTAGGCTATTTAGAAGTTAAAAATCAAATGAATATTAATTATAATTTTACAGATTCCATCTTCGATAGGCGAAGAAAAGGCGACTAATCCATTCATGAGGGTAACATTACCGGAGATCCAGACTCAAGCCGGGTGTAATTCACCCATTGCAGCAATGCAAACTATCAGAAAACAGAAGGATAATTTTACCGGTTAAAGAACATTTCACAATTCCAATTTAGTCTTAAAAGAATGTTGTTGAATTTTTATTTTTAAATATATATAAAATACTTTTATTGCAAATAAACATTATGATATAACAATTTTTAAAATCACACAAACATAAATTAACTAACTAGATTCTGCAGTAATATTAGGCTCTGCGTTTGTAGGCAGTAAATGACTAATGGGCGCGATTACAACATCTTTGTTGAAGAAACTAATACCCTCTTCTTGCAACACTTTAACGCTGACTCCCAATTTAGTGGCTAGATGACTCGGTGGGAAGATAATGTGAATGGTTTTTTGTATAAACGGCAGCAAATCGTCGGAGAAGCACATGCACAATCGCGTAAAGGCGTCTTTGGAATTAACCGAAAAGGCTTGTTGTTCTTGGCTGTAGAGCTTACGCAGGGATTTCGCGATCAGCGTCATCGATGTTTCTAGCGTTTCCACCACTTCGGTGACTAGAGCGACGGGCGGCCGCAGCCTCAATTGATTTAGGGCGTTTAGAATATTGTTGGTGTATTCAGCCAAGGGGTAGAATTCCAATAAACTATCGGGCGGTCGAAGTTCGTCGCCTTTGTTGTGCTTCCAAGGAATTGAAGAGGTTTTTTTGTCGATTAACGTGAACTTTTCTATATTTTTGGTGAAATTATTATCGGCAGAGGCGATTAAATTAGAGAAATTTAGGTAAATGTGTTTGGTAAAAATGGGTACCATCCAAGGCCTAAAATCGCAACCGACTTTACTAAACGAATAGCCAAAGTACATGCACTGATCAAATATCCCTTCTAAAGAATTACCACCGCTCAAATCTCTATCTAAAGTAATTAAAAACGAAGAAATCTGATGTTGTATCCAACTTTTAAATATAACATTTGGATTCGTGGATTTAATTTGCGATACGCCTAAGGGGCTGTGCTCGTCGTCATTAAAAATGGCCGTGTACTGAGTAAGAATGTTGAAAAGATTTACCCTGGTTATTTCAATAGTTTTCGTTAAATGCACCAACAAATCATCCTTGCTAATAGCAGTTAACTGTTGCTCCAACCAATGCGATCGTGCTTGGAGGAATTTCAGCCTCAATTCTGGCTCTAAAAAAATGTACAAATAAATATAAGAAATTGCTAACTCCTTTTTAATGAAGTTCATTTAACAGTTTCTACACTTGTACAAGGGTAAGGTGAAAAGTTCTCGCCCTGACAATGAAAGACCAGGATTTTCAGTTGAAAAATTACATTATTCTTCTTACAAAGTAAAAATATTTAGTTAGTGACAGTTCTAATTGATTATGCAGCGATCTAAATTGTTCTAGACAGTTCTAAATGATTCTGGAGCGTTCTAAATTATTCTAAACAGTTCTTAATGATTCTGGAATGTTCTAAATGGTTCTAGAAAGTTGTAAATGATTCTGACGTTCTAAATGGTTCTAGACTCTAGACAGTTCTTAATGCTTCAGGCCGAGAAATTTTTACCCTACCTTCGTATAATGTGTTATTTTACCTGAAAATATTTCCATTCTCCTCAAATGTCCTACTATTTGTAAGCACTTGGGTAACGACAAGTCTTGTCTGAGCTGCGACAGGAGCTGGTGAAGCATCAGAATCCAAGCTTTATTCACATCGTCGTTTATAGTTTTGAATATAGGCACGTCGTTGTGCTTTAAGTAGAGCTTTCTAACGTAATTGCAGAGTTCCAAAGCGTCTTCGTACAAACCGTCTCGGATAAATGAATTCATTAACTGGGGTATTTCCAGAATCTCTAGTATTTGAGCGCTCTTAGCCAAAGTCGTAGAATCCGTTCGCCTCAAATCGTTGATTTCGCTGGATTCGGTGGCGAATTTGTCGCATATCTCTTCGAATTTCGGCACGTCTTCCAGCAAATCGTTCACTTTTTCTTCTATAACGCCGAATTTGAAAAACAACTCTCGCGAACACAACGCAGTTTCTATGAAGGTTTTGTAATTCGATATAGCCAATTCCTGGATTTGCTCTTGGATCACGTTCGCCTCCTGTTTCAAACGATCTGGCTCATTTTTCAGGTTTTTTATTTTGTACGTTCCTAACTTCGTTAAGTACTCCGCAGTTTGAGCATTGTTGTGGTTTCCTTCGGGAAAAAGCGATGTTAATAATGTATCAGACATTATTAATTTCAATTTAAAATCCAAATAGAAAAATTAAAACGTCAACACCTAAACAAATAAACATAACCTAAAATATATTCTTCTTTTTTTTTTTTTTTTCCTAAAAAATTTAGCATTTTTGACAGTAGCGAATTGATGGTGGCATTTGACCAATAAGTATTAGGTTAACAATATAAATCCTAAACAACACATGAAAAAGTATTTCTTTCATCAAATAGTGGCAACAACCATACATTTTTGTTACTAACTTAAAATAAAACTCATAATATGGGACAAATTACTGTCTACAATGCTAAAATGAAATAAAAAATAATAATTGCTGACTGAAAGAACATGATACCATAACATTACGACACCCTAAATTAATAGAAGAAGATATTTCGGACCTTTTGCTACCAATATGCCGGTTTTAACAAAAAATAAACCTAGATTAATAAATATAAAAATAATATTTTAAAAAAGCTCTTAGAAAAAAGAAATCCTCTCTGTAAATAAATATTTCCCTCATCCTCATACAGTGCACCTGCAAAGCTAATATGCATAACACGTGACTTATCGCAGTCTACCTGTGCTATGTGTAGACGATATAAATGCTATACATCGTCTGGAACCGTCTCTGCCGAATTCGCCCCGCAATCAATGGAGAAATTGCGACGTCGCAAAACGCGGAAATCTCCCACATCCCACCACAGCATCCCTCACTGTACCGGCGAGGCGTATCGACGACAGAACGGCGGTTTCATCCCCCTTTCGTTCGGTTCGATAATACCAAAAAACGAGTTCGTTTCGACGGGAGTAGCGAAAAACGAAAAATGAAAGTGTGGAAGAAAATGAACGCCATCAGGAAGAAAATTCTCCATCGGATCTAACTCATCGACGGTCAGTCAAGTAGTTTTTTTTTCTGTTAAATCTAATATTGCATTATTTTTGTACGTACTCGTATGTGTAGATTTAATACATGTTGATTCGATTTCCTGTTGATTATTCGCTGGTTGAGGAAAGGGACATGGAAGAGGTTTAGGGTGTATTAGAAGGTGTATAATACATTTTATGAATATGAGGTAAAAATATATTTTTTCAAGGTCATTTACAAATGCCTTTTAGTCAGTAGACAGTCGAGATTGAGTGTCCTTGTAACAAATTAATTATTTCACAACCTGGAAGGGTATATATTATGTAAATTTTCATCTGGGTGTACACCATTAGATTAAGAAGACTTCCTGGTATACCAATAAATTTTATAGTAGATACAATCAAGTATACGGAATATCTCAGTAATACTTTACCTATATGAAAGGGAATAAAATTAGTAAAAACAGGAAAAAAGTAACTTATTAATTATTAGAAATATTTTTCCTGTTAGAAAGTTGTATGGATCAAAAATAGTTACCATTGGGAACGCATAATAAATTGCTTGCAGTTTTGCAATAAGGGTTTTATTTACTACTCTTTGTTGATAAGTAATCATCTTATCCCAGCTTTCTATGAAGAAAACCAGAAGATATCGAAGCCGTCATGTCTTCAACACAACCAACCATTGCAATTACATCATCAATTTCGCCGATTATTAAAGGTCAAACTCAAAGTACAACAACACCAGTAATAAATCCAGGTATTTAGTGTTTAATATTGCAATAAATGAAATAAAATAAATCTCGTTCTGTGGGCTTTTTTTCAGGAACCCTAGGCAGTGTGACGAAATTAAGCGGAAATGTGTCGAACATTTCCGCTACGATCTCTTCGATTCTATATAATAAAACACAAAAGTCAATTAACGAATTAATTTACAACGGGACCGGTTATTACATAGACGAGGAAGATGAGCCAGGTAACCTTCTAGTTCTTTTATATTGGGATTATTTCATCAGTATCTTTAATTTCCTTCGAACTTTTATTGACATTCCTACAAAAGTTTTTATTGTTTCCACTTCTATTTCTATTGGGGTTAATTTTTCTGTAGGTTTAACCGATTTACACACCTTATTGCTGGCCTGTTTCGCCACTCTGGTGATTCTCGCAGTCACAGTTTCTACAGCTTATGGAATTCGGTAAGAAAAAATTTAAAAAACTTTAATTACAATCATTTTTAATTATAGTTTTATATTTTTACTACATAGAGAGATTTCAAAGCCATCCCCAATAAAATCCTTTAGACATATAAAACCTCCAGTTGATGCTCCTCTTCCATTATAATTCATATAATGCACCTCGTTAATGCATTTTCGATATTTATCTATTCAGGTTGCTGTGGAAGAAATATATAGGGAGCAAACAGAACTCTCAGTATGACGGGATATTACGCCGAGAAGGAACTTCCGAGTCGATATCGAGGCCGTTACATTCTCATCTTCTCGACGATAAGCTGGTGAGATGATGCACTTTTCTCATTTTTCAATTTTCCATTTTTATGTCTTATTTCCCCTGCGACGATGTGCACCTATAGGTATTTATCATCTGAAATAATGTATTGTGTATTCGATTTCCCATATCCTATATTCAATACCCTCCAGAAATTTTTCTTTATTGTTGTTAATATATTGTATATATTTTGATATTTATTAACATAATTGTATAGATTCTGAATTCCGTTGCACGTTTTAAAGATGAGCTTCGATATTCAGGATGTTGAATATATTGCAGATTCTTAATGAATGCAGGTTGTCTTCAAATTGGATAATTTTTCTTCCTCTGTCTTCAAAATAAAACTAGTAATTGAGTATTCATTATTTCACCTAGGCCAGCACTGACACTCATCTCTCGGTGAATACGGAAGAGTTAGATGTCACCAATGACACAGAAATTAACGCACAAGTAAGATCTAACAGCCACTCGAATACCAACGGCAGCATAATCACAATGACTTTAAAGAATAATCATCTTATAGTCGAAACGGAAGAGAGAAACGTAAGTTTTAATAAAGCAGAAGATCATACCCTCAGCTGTGTGTTTTTGGGAATGCTCTTTTCTTACGCTTTAATATATCTCTTAGGACCTCGAAGAAGACAGCAGGGAAACCACCATGAGATATTCTCCTAACACCAAAGATGGCGTTTTCGTGGTTGAAGTCCAACAGGGAATGCGCCGCAGTCCCGGGTCCACCCGCGTAGAACCAGAACTCTCTGCTTCAATCAGCGACCAATGCGCTCTAGTGCACAACCCTCCAGATAAGTACGATCCATTTTTACTGTATAAACACCTATATTTGTGCTAGTTTCTTTGTGTTACCAATTTGTACAAGTTCCAACAACCAAAAACGATCCTTACCCTTTCTCCACATCTTAGGTACAGCGACGAAGAGACCCTGGAAGAATACGACGATAGCGAGTACTACATAGAAACGGTCTCGCCCAACACGGAAACTCCGGACTCGCTTTCCTCCAAAGCCAAAACAGGCTTGGCTCAATCCAACACCAGCTTGAGTCATCCTTCATACTGTTACGCCAATCAAACTGGCTACGATGTGAACGGATACGGATGTGGCGTGCTCTTTGCTGGAGTGGCGGTGCGCAATGAGAATTCGGAGGATAGGGAGGTGGATGATGTGGTACCGAAAATAACGGGGGCCGTTTACAAGGGCGGTTTGAAGAGGAGTCCGAGCACGGAGGATCTGCATTTGGCTTCGATTGAGGGCGGGAGGAGCGGCAGTTCGTTGGAGAATCCAGTTAGTTAGGTATTTGAAATGAATATATTTTGGTGGTATTTGAGTGATGCATTGTTTGTTTCAGATTGCCAATTGCATTTAGTATTGACCACCTGCATCTTTGATGAAATAGTTCGAATAATTTGTTACACCGATAAATTAATTTTTTTAATAGTATAGCATATGTTAGCATCGTCAGATTAGTAATTTGAAATTACCGTTACCGATAAAAAAGATTGCAGTAATAGCAACTTTCGAATTTTTGTAGGCATTCCTTGTTTCAAAAAATTTAAATTTCTCCACTTTTCTGCAACTACTCATTTTGAGAGTACAACATAGTTAATGTAGTATTGAATTTGGGAACTATTTTATCATAAATAAGCTACAATTTAGGTATACCTTGATATAAAAACTTACGTAAAATTTTAAACTATACACTAATGAATAAGTACCATTTTAAATAATGTACATACATAAACTGTAGGGTAAAATAATATTTATTATTAATAAACAAACGAAACGTTAGAAGCTGTGAATTATTAAACGCTTTCATCTAATATTTAATATTAAATCAACTGTACTGGTCATATTTTTTTTCAATTCATTCCTTGACGTAATAGGATTAAAATATTTTTATATTATTAGGTGTGATAAACAAATGTGTAATTAAATTACCTATAATTTACCTATACCAAATTTATTATATTATATTGCTTTTGTATTATAATTATTGATTATGTATAAGCGACCGAAAAAGATGTACTATTTTTGTTCATAAAAATAAATTTAAATTAATAATATTACAAAGTATTTTCGTATAAGTATAAATTCGTTAAATATTTCACCGTCCAATATTTTTAAAAGTATCTTTAAATGTTGGTAAAATTTTGTAGATACACTCGAATAATACCATTTTATTTTATTTCTTGTTCGCCTTGGTTTTTAATTTTCTAAGCACTTATACAACTTATTAGAGAATATACGTACTTAAATTAATTATTATACTGTAATATAATTATATGTTTCAAGCTATGTTAATTATAAATAAAAGAGATCTTGTACAAACAGGGCAAACGCAAAAATTGCACATTGAGAACTCATCTGCCGTTAATTAATTATTCTAAATCAGACAAAATGAAAATTTATGTAAAATAGTAAAATTCTTTAAAATTATATTTTGATTTTCCTATATGTGAAAAAAGTTCTAATGTTTGTAAAATGTTAGATATTTAATAGACTTCCTGCGAGTATATCCACAGCATATGTATATGGGGGAGCAATGAGTTTATATGTGAGTAAAATAATTACTGCAATAAAATTATTTTACTTAAACAATTTTTACTCAGTATTCAATTATTGAATTTAGCAAGATAGTAACCAGTGAATATGCAATTAATATTAGTAAAAAAATATACAAATTATTTAACATTTTTCTCGTAGAGTAATAATTTTATTTTATATAAAAACGTTGTAAAAGTTCTTACATATACGCATTAAAAATTATTTGTTTTCATTTAAAACGCTATTTTAATTTTGTAAAATTATTTTCACTATTAAGACTTCTCAAGATAATAATCCTGTACTGTATTTCTTAATTTTATTCCCAACTCAATTTCTCTATCAAAATGATTGTACAAGGAAAACCGAATAAACTGAATGTAGAGGCCAACTTTTACTGAAAAAAGATGACGAAAATGACTTACTTTTAAAAATGAGGTTGTGTTGTTTGTTTTAATTTATTTGAATTTTTTACTGCAGAGTTTCGTGTAAAGTGAAATGATTCGTCGATTATTGTCTAATGCAATAGAAACAGCGCTGCCGGCAGAAACGACACATTCGCAGACATTTTTCAAAAATGAATTTGCAACATTCAAATGGCTAACTTCGACCGGGCCCTGTTTCCCCGTTAAAGCCCAAAATATCACCATTTTGACCGACCCCAGCGAATTTTTCGACGCCCTTTTAACGAATTGCACCAACGCCAAAGAAAGAATAACCTTAGCAAGCCTTTATCTAGGTAATGGACCTTTAGAAAAAAAATTATTAGGTTGTATTAGGAATAATCGGTGTTACCGAAACAACACGTTGAACATCAACATCCTGCTCGACTATACTAGAGGGAGCAGACACGAATCCAATTCTAGAACAGTATTATTACCTTTTATCAATGAAAACAGTAAATTAAAGGTATCATTGTATCACACACCGTTGTTACGGGGTTACTTAAAGAAGTGCATACCTCATCGATGGAACGAATTATTAGGTTTGCAACACATGAAGCTTTACGTGTTCGATAATACGCTCATTATAAGCGGCGCCAACTTATCAAACGATTATTTTACTAACAGGCAAGACAGGTATTTTGTCATTAAAGATAAAAATCTCTGCGACTTTTACTGCGATCTAGTCTCAAAAGTACAAGAATTTAGCTTGAATTTAAATGGCCAAAACGAAACGAGTTTGTCGGGTAATTGGGATACCCTGCCTTATGAAAGTAACAATGATAATTTCGTTAAAAAAGCTTCGGAGAACATACAGCGTTTCGTTACAGAAAATACGAATAGGCAAATTGCAGAAACTAATGAAGAAGAATGCGGTAAATACTGTATTTAAATTATACAATTGTTTTAATTGATATACTTTATTATTAGATACCTGGATATTTCCACTAATACAAATGGGTCAGCTTGGAATAGAACACGATGCGCTCGTAACAAGCAAACTTATAGCAGAAGCTCCTAGTGGAAGTCACCTCAAAATATCTACCGGTTATTTTAATTTAACTACTGATTACATGAACACTTTAATACAACACTGTAGAGCAACATGCGACATTCTAATGGCTCATCCAAAGGTAGATTATTAAATTAAGTGAATAAATCAGTAGTTTGAATTCTCCATTTTTTCAGGCTAATGGATTTTTAGGTGCCAGAGGATTAGCTGGTGGGATTCCTTATGCTTATTCGTTAATAGCCCGTAATTTTAAAGAAATGTGTAAAAACAATAACCAATTGGAAAGAATCTATTTGTTGGAATATTACAAGGAGGGGTGGACTTATCACGCCAAAGGACTATGGTGAATTATATAGAAATGTTCGTATTAACGTAGTGAATGTATTTATTTTTACAGGTACTATCCTCCAACCGCAAATGTTCCATGTTTAACACTAATAGGATCGCCCAATTTTGGGGAAAGATCCGTTAAAAGGGACTTGGAGACTCAAGTGGCAATCGTCACCGACAATCCGGAGTTAAGAAAGAGCCTAGATAATGAATGTAGGAGATTGTACGATACATCCGAAGTAGCGGATATCGATAGAAAAGTACCAGTGTGGGTTAACGCTTTTGTCGTATTTTTCCGGAGCTATTTTTGAATAGTTTTTATTCATAATGATAGTTGAGTCAATGGTAGAAAAATGTACTATCCAATAGGTCGAAATCATCGAAAACCACATGCATAAATAAGCATTTTTTATTTAAATGCACTTCATAGTACAAATAATGTTACCAATATTTGAAAATGTAACATAATATTTTATTTTATTTATAATAGATATAAAACAAGATTACTCATGTTCGTTATTTTTCAAACAGACCTAACATAAGGGATGAAGTCCTTTTTTGCACTTCGCACAATTTAAAGATGACTGGAAATCTTTAGAAGAAAGGGCGTGGACTATGGCTGAATAGTTCTAATATTAAAGACACTAAACTTGTCATTTTTTGTCATCTGTCATTACTGTCATCTTCGTATTATTTCTTTTTTGTGTCAACTCGTGAAGCATAAGGTAGGTTCTTATAAATTTTAGATTCAAAACATTACAAATCAATATTTTCAAAAATAATAATCAATAATATAAACTTATTGCACCGGTAATTAATAGTTATAACAATTTCTTAACAAATATTTGTGGATGTTCACGATAATTAAAGATATAGTTTTATAGGTTATGTTATATTTAATAACTTGTAATATTTAAGGCTTGAAAATGGTCAACGGTCGGATACCGTCGGTACATTCAAAGACGTACGTCACCCCCAGGAGGCCTTACGAAAAGGCTCGCTTGGACCAGGAATTGAAAATCATCGGAGCCTTCGGTCTCCGTAACAAACGTGAAGTATGGAGGGTCAAGTACACGTTGGCTAAAATCCGTAAAGCTGCCAGAGAACTGCTTACATTGGAAGAAAAAGACCCCAAAAGGTTGTTCGAAGGTATATTTCATGCAACCCCTGATTATAAGGCATTTTAATTGTGAAATTGAACATTTTAGGTAACGCGCTGCTGCGTCGTTTAGTAAGAATTGGAGTACTCGATGAGAACAGGATGAAGCTCGATTACGTGTTGGGCTTGAAAATCGAAGATTTCTTGGAGAGACGTTTACAAACACAAGTATTCAAATCCGGTCTCGCTAAGTCCATTCACCACGCTAGAGTTCTGATTAGGCAACGCCACATCCGGTAATGTTTAATTTTATAATGGTTTCGAGTTTCTGCACGAAGAAAATTCGTGTATACATTTACACGTTTCACAAAGGCCACTTAGTCAATTTGACTAACGTCTTTTTAACCGCTTTAAAAGTTGAAACTTGGTTGAAAGGTAAAACCACAAATTTAATAACGATTTGCTAGTGTAATTAATTAGGTTACTTCGTAGTGTATTATTTGTACTAAGTGTACAATGTATTTGTTTTTAGAGTTCGCAAACAAGTAGTGAACATCCCATCTTTCATTGTGAGATTGGACTCCCAGAAACACATCGACTTCTCGCTGAAGTCTCCATTCGGTGGTGGCCGACCTGGCAGAGTAAAGAGGAGGAACCTCACCAAGAAGAGTACCGGAGCTGCTGCTGAAGAAGAGGAAGATTAAGCAGGATTATTTCGTTACAATATGTGAATAATATTGTAATAAAATATATTAAGATTTTTTCATCGTTTCTTTGACTATTATTTTCCTATACCTTATGAAATTTTTGATTTTTGAGGATTAATAAGCGAGTTAGTGAATTTTCGTATAAAGGAGAAATTTGAATCTTCCTAGTGTTTTACAAAGTTGCCAATATGGCCAATTCTGACTCATGAGTTGAAGAAAGAAAGATTATTAAAGTAACAGTGGTTAGAGTAAAAAGGTTGCAATCGCACAATATTCTTTTTCTTATATATGAGACTAGCGCAAGTCTGTTGCGCCCATAACATACCGTAAATAATTTTGAATTTTGAGTGGTCGCCATTTGATGGAATCGACGCACAATCTGGCAACACCGATTTAAACTGCCTCTCAAGAGTGTCAAATGTCGTAATGTCGAATACAGCTGACAGCTGTCATTAGTGTCAGTTGTGTAGAAGGTTGTTGCTTGTTGTTTCCAAAAATAATTTTGTTTGTACGTAAGATTAAAATGTGAAAAAATCGCCTTAATTGTAGATAAAATTTGTTTAAATCTCTAATCGGAGAAACGGATTATTCGTACGCAATGGCCCCGATACCTTTGGAAGGGCTCCAAACGCCCGTTTCTAATACTGTGGCCCAAAACAACCTAGCGGGCCCCCAAGAGGGCAACAGAGGTGGCATGATGTCTTTAGCGCTCCTAATAGAATTTATTGTGCAACGTACTTATCACGAACTGACGGTTTTAGCGGAATTGTAAGTGCAATAGAATTTGTTCGAAATCAGACGTTTAGATTTGTGTTGTTTCAGATTGCCTCGAAAAACCGATATGGAGAGAAAAATTGAGATATACAATTTCGCTACAAGAACGAGACAGTTATTCGTCCGGCTTTTGGCGCTTACTAAATGGGCTAATAGCGCTTCAAAAGTGGAGAAATCAGCTGTAAGTTATTCACTGCAATTAAGTGTTAATTCGCAAAACAAACGAGCTGTCGTTTTTTAGAGAATCATGAATTTCTTGGACAAACAATCGTTGCTTTTCGTCGAAACGGCGGATATGCTGGCCAGAATGGCCAGAGAAACTTTGGTGCAGGCCAGAGTACCGAATTTCCACATACCCGCAGCTGTAGAAGTACTAACGACTGGAACGTATGGCAGGCTACCTGCATGCATCAGAGAAAGAATCGTCCCACCTGATCCCATAACACCTTCGGAGAAAAGGAATACCCTTCTGAGGCTGAATCAAGTTATACAGCACAGATTAGTTACAGGGAATTTATTGCCTCAAATGAAAAATTTAAAAGTGAGCAAACCATTTTAATATACTCGAGTTACTTTATCCTTTTATATTTTTATGTAGATTGAAAATGGAAGAGTCATTTTCCATGTCCAGCATGAATTTGAAGTGTCTCTGACTGTAATGGGAGACGGGCCTAACATACCTTGGAGGCTTCTCGAAATAGAAATTTTAGTAGGAGACAAGGAAACTGGCGGTACGTGTACGCATTTAATCAATAACAGGCATGTTTTTAATTGAATTTATCCCTTTAGATGGCAAAGCGTTGGTGCATTCATTGCAAGTACAATACATTCACCAGTTGATTCAAACCCGTTTAGTGGACAATCTGCAGCCTCTAACGGAAGTGTACAATTGCCTCCATTTTTTCTGCCAATCCTTGCAATTGGAAGTATTATACTCGCAAACTTTGAGATTAATGAGAGACCGTCTGGACGATCATATTCATGTTGACGAATATGCTCCCGGGAAATGTCTAACGGTATCATATTGGAGGTAATTAACATTATAATAATAAATAAATTTTGTACTGATTTAAACGAATTTTAGGGAATTGACAAGTAAAGGAAAAGAGCTTGCGAACAGAGACCTCAGGTCTGAGTTGGGCTATCGTCTATCAGTTCAGGTCGATCTTCACGATCCGGCTAGACCATTAGCTGTTGTACATGTACCTTCTCTTGGAAACAAGGTTTGTGTTAATGAAATTTTACCTGGTGTATTTGTAATTAATAATTTCCTTTAGGAAAGCGAAATAGCAGATAGGGCTATTCGTTCCGAGGTTCTATCGATGGAAAGGCTCCTCGTATATACAATCTACGTAAGAACCCGAAGCAGATTGTCCGATTTGAAACTGGAACTTCAAGGAATGCTGAAAGATGTCGAATGTTCGTTCATAAAAAAAATTTATCGTTTTAATATACTAAATTTGTATCCTTTATAGGTAATCTTCAAGGATCGCCTGCTATATTATCCGTGGCAATTTTGCAACCGTGCCTAAGAGCTGAGCAATTGTTGATTACAGTCGATACGCATACCGGCATGCTCCAATGCCACGTTCCTCAGTACGATCCCATACTCATTCCCGAGCTGAATAACGCTTTCAACGGAGACCATTCCAAGTTGCCGTTTCTAATCTCCGAACTCAGATATTGGATAACGCAGAGACGGTGCGAGAAAACGCTGCAACACCTTCCCGCCACAGCCTACGAAAAACTACCTCTCTTGCACCAAAGCGACCATCCCATAACGAAAATTGGCAAACACAGGATGTTTGTGCAATTATTCAGGCATCCTAACGTTATATTGGTGAGTACAACAGGGAACAATGGAGGAATTATACGTGCTGTAATATGTGATTTATGTGCAGATAGTGGAGCTGAAAGAGATCGAAAGCAACCCGTGCGAAATGGATTTTTCCTTTTACCTGGCGGTGGTGAAGCACTCGAGCATCGAGGACAACCCCGACGATGAAACCATCGAAACGGAAATACCGAAAGTATTCCTGAAAGTACAATCTCTGATCGAATTCGACACCTTCGTGTCCACCCACGGCCCGTTCACCAGCGTATTAGGTGCCCGGTTTTTCGTTTTTGCCACGTTCGAAAAGATTCAGTTTTGCAATTTTTTAGGTCGCTCAGATTCCGATCACACCGAACCGAACAGCTTGAAGAGAAAAGGCGGCGCCAAGGCCGAATCGGCGACTCGACGGTCCAAACAGCCCGCTTATTTCATAGCCGAATTGGCCCACGTGGTGGCCATGTGCGACGAGAGATTGCCCTTCGTTACTCTGGCTAACGAGGTAATTAACCGATATATCGAACGAGATTTTCGCGTACTAAATTTCAATCGATTTAGCTTACCAAACGCAACGTGTTTCACCAAGGCCTTCAAGTGGAATCGAACGCTACGGGTTTGGTCTTGAAGCTCATCCAACTGCCGACGCCCACCAAGGAAATTGGCGCTTCGTCGGCTTGGAACGCCCTGATGAAGAGATTGCTCTCCGCGTCGATGAGAGTGCTGAGTAAAGGAGGCGTGAAAAGCTGGATGGTCGAGTTCGTGTTTTATTCGACTCCGCTGTCCAGTACGCACCCCAAGGAGCAAGGTAAATTTACGCGATAAATGCTGGGTATTGTGATGATAATAATGGAAATTGCAGGTTCTCGTCGTCCGATTTATTTCCAGTACGAGCTGGCGACTATCGATAACACTTCGAAAACGGCGGATTCGTTGATAAGCGATTGGAATCAGATCGTCCATCTTTATACTCTCGTGCACGATTTAAGCGAATATCTAAAAATAGGTAGGTGTTGCTCTCCTTACATAACAGTCCATATTAATAAAAATGAAGCATTTTTTTGAAGTAAAAGGTAGATGCAAAATGTAAGAGGAAAAGGCCTTAAAACCTTAAACAAAGGTTTAAACAAAACCTCTCTTCCTTCGCTTCTTTTTATGCATATATCTTGAAGCAATTCCTTCATTTTTTGAAGCAAAAGGTTGTGCTTCTTTTTATAAATACGGCCTAATATACATGCTATTATTTCGGCTTGTTTCAGATAAGTACAGCTTCCTCGGAAACCTGTTTTGCATAAAATCGTACAACTACACCAAACTCATCCTCTGTTATGGACTAGATAAAGGTGCTATGGTATCGATAACTTGGAACAATTCCGAAAAAATGTTCAAACTAGCATTCGGCGCTACCAATAATTCCCTAAACGCCCATTCGCTCATCCAGGAACAATTGGAATCCTATTTGAACGAGCACAGGAATCTGGCGCAAATCATCCAACTCTTGCACGAGACTTACGAACCACTTTTATCGATTAGTAAACTACCTACAATACCGCAATTGGGCATTCACAACACCGTGAGTATATAACGTTACCGTACGATTGTTCATATTAATCGTATTACGTTCCAGAGACCTCAAGTGCCCGTGCAAACGTTCACCATAATGGCGCAATCCTGCTCTCTGATCCGGCTGGCCTATCAAGGCATGTACTGCTTGGAGCTGCGCATAAGAGGCTCGGGTTTGGTTTCGCTTCGAGACGGAGCCTACAGCCGATTCGATAGAAGCAACGTGGTCGACGTATTCTCACCAACGCAAGGCCTAAAAGCCTTTCTCTCCAAATACGTGGACGAAACGGCGGTGTTCAGAAGACGATCGCAATCCGAGGACGACAATCCCCCGTCTCCCATGGAAGTCGAAGGTAGCGGGTTCCTAAGTGAGTTGCATTTAAGCCGCAAATCGTTACACGTTTACGCTAATCGATGCTGCAGGTCATCACAGAGGTCCTCAATCGCCGGCGGGCCAACGGGAGCCGGGGCTTCGATTCCATCCGCCGCTGACGCCGCCGTCCGGCTCGAATCCGCACACGCCCGCCAGTCCTCACACGTCCATCAATCAAACGACGCACGGCGGCTTCGGCTCGAGCCCCGCCACGTCCTTCAATCTGGCCTCGCCCACGTCGCTACCGGCCAACATCAATCCCAGCCCGATGCCGCATCCCAGCCCCAGCGGCCTGGTGGCCAATTCGCCGTTGAATCCGCAACTGGCCAGTCCCGGCGGTTTGTTGAGCAACTCCTCGCCCGGACCGCAAGGCTCCAATCTACCCGGGCATTCGCCCGTTAGCAGTTTCATCTCTACGGGTAAACGGTTTATCGCTTCGAAGCGCCGCTGGTTTTACGAGTAATTATCTTTCTCAGGTCACACCGACGGTAGTCCGTTTCCATCGCAGAGCATGTCGTCGCCGGCGGCTTCGACGAACTGGCCGGGTTCACCGGGAATGCCGCGCCCGTCTCCGGCTCGTCCGGGCCAATCGCCGGGCGGGCATTCGCTGATGCACAGTCCGCAGCAGAACGCCGATCCCAAGACAGGGAATCACCTGTCGAGAGTGTTGCCGCAGCGGTCTTGGGCCGGCGCCGTGCCTACGTTGCTGACGCACGAGGCTCTCGAGATGCTTTGCTGTCCTTCGCAGCATCCTCAAGGTTTACCCGTGCCCGAATTGGCGCCGTTGGAACGATTCTTGGGTTGCGTGTACATGAGGAGGCAGTTACATCGGTATATACACAACGAAAATTACGTAAGACAATAGGTTGTAAGTGTTGTTTGCATAAGTTTTGACATCGATTGTGGTTTTAGTTGACGGCTATTCCCAACACCGAGCCCGGAGTTATACACTTCAAGGTGGCGGAAACGCTGCAGTGTCGCATCGGTTTGAACACGCAGCACTTGCAGAGCCTCCACTTGAAGATTACGCCGCTGACCGATCACAAGGAGGTGTGGTCGCAGGAGGAGTTGCAGGTGTTGGAGAAGTTCTTCGATACGCGGGCGGCCGCGCCCCCTTACAAGCCCACCTCGATGTTTACGTTCTGCCACATGCTCAACCTGCCCGTCAACGTGCTGAAGGATTTCATACAAATCATGAAGCTGGAATTGGTGCCGAGTTTGGCGCAGCAACAGCAGATGAAGTGGGCCGTGCAGTGGATGCTGCGCGTGCCGCCCAGCGCTCCGAACCTGGTGCCCATGGGCATGACGGGCGTGCTGGTGTTCAGAGCCAAAGTTCTGTTCTTCGTAAGCATTATTAATCGACTCTCGCATCAATATGTATTTACGAATCGCTTTGTTTGTAGCTCCAAATAACGAGAATCGGCATCCAGTACCCCATTAACATGGAGCCGCCTTCCATAGTGCTGCCATTGATTTACGACATCGGCAACAACGTGACGTCTTTGGCCGAGAAACGGGAGGCGGGCACCAATCCCGCCATGACGGCCATCAGCCAAATGCTCAAGCACTTTACGCAGTTCCAATCGAATATCAACGAGTGTTCGGTGTTTCCGGCTATCAGGGACCTCCTGACGAACCTGACGCTGCCGTCGGAACCGCAAGTGCCGAGCCCCGTGACCGGCGGAGTCCAACAAATCCAATCTCCGGCGATGCAATTGCCGGGCCAAGCCGGCCAAGGGGGCTACCCCGTCAACATGCCCATGGGGATGATGGGGCCTCAGTAATAATTTATTGGTTGTGATGTTTTGAGTGTATATAGTTTCGTATCGAAATATATGATTTTTATCTGTATAATACATTTTTATTTTATTTATACAGGGTGTTAGTTAAATGAGTGCCGGTACTTCAGGATGTGATTATTTGGGTGATTTTAAGAAGAAAATATTATATGAATATATGTCCTAAACCTCTTAGTTTTCGAGCTACAGGGTGTTAAAATTTTAGAAAAAAAAATTTTCTTTCATAATTTTCTTATTACTCCATATATTTTTATCAAATTTTGTACATACTTTTTAATTATTAAGTAGCATTTTTTGATGCAAAAAGATTTTTTTTAAATTTTCACCACTGACGTCCGTACCAGGTTTGAACTGAATGCGTTTGAACAAAAAATGGTACGCCACAGCTTTTTCTAAAAATCAAAATATTTTTAAAATCCTCATTTATTTTGGAGCAAATTCGGTCCGAAGACTTATTTTCGTACGATGCACCATTTTCGCATAAAAAAATAAAAACCAAAACAATATTTTCCCAAGTTCATTTAGTTTCCTTTTGATATTTTGTTGAAATTTGGTAGGCGCCCACCATGCATGGAAACACTTTTTTTGGGATAAATTTTCTACTATTACCAGTGACGTCCACGTCCGAAATTTCATAAGGATATCTGGAGAAATAAGAGAATGGAAAAGTTTTTTTCTTCTAAAACAACCTGTCGCTCGAAAACTAAGAGGTTTAGGAAATATATTGATATAAACTTCTTTTCTTAAAATCATCCAAATATTCACATCCTGAAGTATCGGCACTCAAATAATTAACACCCTGTATACCTCCTCTATCGGTTATTAATACCTTTTTTTTGAGTTATACATGTATGTCGTTTGGAAGTTTCTCATTTTGCTCCGAAAATACAAGTATATAACAAACTGTTTCAAAAAGATTAACAAGGAAAAATAGGTATAAAAAAATTAATGGAAAAGTAAGGCGTTAACAAGATTGCTTATCGTTTCTCCTTCAGCAAATTCAAACTTGTTTATTTTCGAGTTAGCGTGATAATTGGCCGGAATTCCCACCGTACGCGTACGAGCCAGTTCCCGGCGACGAGGAAGCGCTGCCGCTAGACCTGGGGGCGGCGAGAGCGCGCCTGCGTTGGGCGGCGGTGCTCTTGTTTTCGGGGCGATTCTTCTTCGGGAAATCGGGCGGCAGTTGGCCGGAGACCGTCTCCTCAGCCGGTTGCGCTTCCGAAGACGAGCGAAATAACCGAACGTGTATCGTCATCTCTGGATCAAGTGCCAAGTAGGTGACCTCGATGGGATTTCGGCTCGTTTTTTTCTTGGATGAAGGCCAGAAGGAAGGTAAGAGGGGGATGCTGGGGAGGGTAGGGTGAAAAAAAGGGATATCGCCAACTCCGATTTTCGATGGTATTGTTTGATTTTCGGGGAGGTTAGGTAACGGTTTTTTTTGTTGTGATGAATGAAAAAGTTGGCAGAGATCGCAGTTTTCCATTTGAACGCATAAATTACGCTCTCTATTTTCTGGAGATGGATGTTTTTGATGTATTTATTGTACTTAACAATTGTACAAAAGCGAATTAAGCGATTAATGAAACAAATATTTCTGAGCAGTTTTAATGAATATTTTATTTCCGCAATCGATTATGAAAATCCTCCATCGGTGCTAATTTCATTAGACAAAATATCTTTCCATCTAATGAACGTTAATTAGGCCATTTGTTCGACGAAGCGGCTAATCCTGGTAAAATTCGATTTTTATTAGTTATTTACTTTAGTAAAGTGGAAAAGTGGTGCTAACGATTCGAGTACATTTTACACCCTTAATCCCCCTCAGACCTCTTCTTAACTCTCTATCTCCTCCTTAAATCAACATTATCACCTCCACCTTCCCAGTTAATTTTTGCTTGGCAACTTCCTTAACAGAGGTCTAATTAACACTTGAAATTAATTACAATAATTTCAAAACGCCTTAGTGGAAAAACCAATTAGATATTCTACTTAAAGGTCGTCTTCGAATGGAGTATAGAAGAAGGAATCCACTAGATCAAATATATGCCTGTTTTGTAGAGCAGAATATTACTTGAAAGTTATATACGCCATAACTTGGAAGTTCTGAATTACGTTTGCTGTCGAGGTGTTGACTTAGCATTAATTTTCCCGCCCCGAGATCGGGAAGTTGCGAATCTCGAGAACCTTCAGCGAAATGCACAATTTATGCAAAGGAGATGCATGTTACAGTGGAAACGCTTTAATTAACCATCAAACGTTTTCTCAATACATTAACTGTTTAGGTATTCACTCACCTATACATTAATTAAAATTGCCAAAGAGTAATTAACATTGTACAGGAACGGTAATACTACGTACGTTTGTTCTGCTAGTGGCTAGAAAATACAGCGTATGCACTTGGCTAATTTCGACTCTTTTAAATTGTCGCTTTTAAACTCCGAAAGTTCATTTGCGACCGATGAATCATCTTTAATTAACTGTGACATTTCGCTATCCTCGTGTCCTTGTTCCGTTGGAGTACCAATTCAAAGGGAAATCAAAGTGAGAGGAACGCAATAAAGTGGAATAGTGGTGGTTTATACATATTCAGAATGCCAGGAGAAGCACTATCTACGAGGGTAAATTGCAAATATACTTCGCAGAGACGAATCAGCTCGCAAGAAATTCTTATTAATCGATGAAAATTCGGGTTTTATTATACCTGTTTATGAAAGCAGGTATAGAAGGAAGCGCTCGTTCGAAAATATGATGATGGGAGCATAAAAAGAATAAAATGCTAAGTTAGATGGAGCTTTTGTTGTACTAAACACATAAAATATAAGTGAGTTTTCAATTATCTAAAAGCATGTAGCAGGTAAGTAAGTGTTAGTCAATATCACAATTACCTTAATTGATCGACCTGAATTCATTTGAGTTTGGGTTGTTTTGCGTTGCAGTTTGCCATTAATATATTCAACATCCGAGCGAGTTTAAGTGCAATATTATTTTATTACAAGAACTTATGGTTATGGGTTACTACATATATGTATAGTATATTGTGAATAGGTAAATAAATTTAAAAAACTCATCAGTACTATTATGCATTAATATCGTATTTTATCGTGTACACAGTTTTTAATTTTATTACTTTTGATGTTTATATGCCATTATTATATGCCAATATTTATAATACCTACTGGTATTTGATTCATTCACTATTAATTCGATTTTCAATAAAACTATTTTGAATTTTGATTTATTTTAATTTGCGCATGCAACGAATAAATATTAATTACTCTCGTTGTTTGCTGAACTAAACAAACTCATAAAAAGGCATGAATTCAAATTGTTAGCACTAAATATTCATATATTGTTAACTTACTGCTGACTGAAAGTATCTCATTTCACTCTAATGCAGGTAATTTCATTGCATCAAAGAAATATGCTACAATGTAAGTTTAAGAACCCCTCGTATTATGCCACTTTATCACCTCGAATGTTAGCTACGATAAAAACACGATAGTTGTCCAGGAAAACTACACGACTGTTATATTTTCTTGATGATTCCTCCGCAATTACGAGTCTTCGCTATTAAATCGCAAACGCTATATTTCAACTCTAGTAAATACATAAATAACTATAAAAGTCACGAACAAACTGACGCTGAAAAAAATACTCGAGTGAAAAATAAAATAGAACGCGTTTTTTATGATAGAATACCTTTCGCGATATAAAAACGTTACATTCGCAATGTACAAGGAATAAAACAAGGATGTTTTATTTAGTAGTCTCTTCCCGTTGTCACCTGTCAAGTAAACAAAATGATACCTACCCTCTTTCGCCCTCTTCCGAAGAAATAAACGGCGTGTTCGCCACGCAAAAACGGAATAAATTCGCTCCTCGCACTTTCCGTTTTACCGAAATGATACCGTCGCCTTTGCGAAAACGATAATAATCGACTATGCGGTGTTTAAAGTAAAACTCTTCCAGTCGATGAACCCCTATAAACGACGCCTTAAGCCGTTTTTACTGGAAAATTTAATCGGGAATTTACACATAAAGATCACTCCTCGTCTTCTTTTTCTCCGAAGGTCCCGCAAACTAATACAACCAATCCCGTATCGAATTTCCCAATTATTTTTCAGATTTCCGCTCGACATTGCGCTTTTCCGCCTTGTTCGAAATACGTCTCCATTCATCGCTGGCATGTATATTTCCTTATTTGATTTTCAGCCGAGCGGAAAATTTGCCAAGGCAGGAAAAGCCGCCGTTATGAATTTATTTACTCGTCGGTTACGTTTGGAGCACCGAGGAAACGTCAAGACATCATATCATTTCACTCCACATGTGATTTGTTCAATGAATTAATTTAGATTTATGAGACGTATTAGGGTTATTCATAGCCAACAAAGTGACTCTTATGTACCATATACACAATCCTTATTGAATTGTTTTACCATTGATCGAACTTCCTTTATAACCCTCTTTGTATATGTATTGTATTGTTTAAAGTTTGAACATCCTGCACAATCAATCTATTTCTACTGGATGAATATTCGACGTCGCCGAGAGATCAATTTTTCTTTCAGGAATTTCCGTCGACTCATCCTATAATTTTTTCCTCTTTTTGTTCTAACGTTCATCATTAGTCTTCCGGATAAGAGAAACGCGGCAATTGAATATTCAGAAAGTGACACGAACGATATCCATTACCGGATTAGAAAGGGGATTAAATCCAGATGACCCGGACAGGTCTGGATGATTCCTATTCAGGTTTTCCTTAGAGTTTATCTGACCCGCAGAAGAAAACTCGTCTACTCATAAACCTTTAATGTACCAGAAATTTAACTTTACTAAGAGGTTGCTTTTTAGGAACTTTTTATTACAATTCTTTTGATAACATTTTATAAATTTTAATTTTCCAAAATTTTAGATTGTTTTTGATTAATAAATACCTCAAGACAAGTAGTCAATTGACTTTCCACCAGGAAACCACTTTGAAGTAAATAAATTAGTAGGTGATAAATTTCTTGGTAATTACCGGATGGCCTGCAGTCTTCTAAAAACGATATTTATAATTCAGAACCCTTTTAAAAAGTTCCGGAGAGTCGCGATGGTGATTTATCGGAGCGACTGTAAAGCACCTACAAAGCACTACCGAGAAAAGTTTAACGAAAAATAAGTCTAATTTCGCGGCGGAACCTGCTGTTAGGTGAAAATTTCGGAATTTTCAGAAGTGGGATTCCGCCCGGACGATCGATCTTAAATTCGCTTCCATATCGGAAAAGTTTTTGTCGAGCGACGAAAAGGAAAACATTTATTAAAGCCGTTGTTTCCCCCATCCGGTTTCCAGAAGTGGACCGTACGTGTTTGTTTGATTTTTCCGACGGAAAAAGATTAATATTTTCTTTTGTGGAATTTATTCCGGGATGGCCCTTTCCGAGGCGTATAAGCAAAGTATTCTTGAGCGACGTTTCAACCGCGAAAACTTGAAATATAACAGTCACGTCCGCGAGAGGTGAGGTATTCCTATTCGTTTTTATTTCGTCTTGTTATGGGAGTTTTATGAAATATTCCGCATTCCGTCCAACTCCAAACATCATCTGGGAATGCATCTAATAATAAAATTAATTAAATCGAGGTCTTTATTAACTACCAGAAATTCAGTCTTGCTTTACGCGATGATTTTCCATAATCTTGCTAATTAAAGTCTTGATATAGGGTTTCATAAATACCAAAATGTTTTATGAGATTTTACACGTTTTCTACATGCAACAATGTGCATTGTTTAGCAGGATTCGAGTCGTACCATTCGATTAATAATTTAGTTACTTTACAGTGTACAGTTGAAGTAAGTAGAGTGTTTTGTTAGGTAACTGCTAGCATTTCCTGTATATGCGCGCTGTAAAATATAATTATCGCAATTCGAGGGTTGCTCTGTGGCATGTTCGCAGCGACACGATAACGAGGTCCTAAAAGGACCCGCATTGAAAGCATGACAAATTAACGTCTAAAATAATTACAGTTTATACGAATGACTCCAATTGGAACGGCCATTAGGGTTGAAATTTTTGGCGCTTTATAGGCAGTAGGTGCAATCGTTTTTCCGAGTGCTGGCAGAAGGATTTACGGTGATTTGGAAAAGTTCGAGATTGATTTTTATCGTTTATTTCAAATGGGTTTTGTAGTTTCAGGAACAAATGGGAAAGCGCGAAAAACTGCAATTGCGATTAGGCAACAATCTATCAAGTACCTATACATATAGTTGTAAATTTTCACCATTAGGTACACTACCATAGAAGGATAGTTTTTTCGCATTTTAATCTAGAATGTACCCTCAATTTTTAAGACATGTCAATACGAAGATTTGTTAGAAGATTTCAATTTTCTCCCTATACTTTTAATCAATACACAATGTCCCAAAATAGATGAAATTAAATTGACAAAAAATGTTAAAGTTCCACAAAATGAGGATAATTCCAAGATTCGAATCTGGGACAAGATTTTTAAAATTAGCACACATCTTATCCAGAATTTATTTGCGATGGATCAAAGAAGACAGGATCGTAAAAAGAAGCAATATTATATAAATTTGCGTCGATATATCAAATTAATCTCCCATTCATCGTCGCGACTCCCCGCATAATAAAACGCTTAAATCTTATAATATATCCCATTCAAAATTTGGAAGATTAATGCTCCATAAACGGACTTTCTAATACCGTATGCTAATTTCGTTCGCGGTAAAGTTTCCATGTTTCGCGCATCGCCAGAATGATTAATCAGACAAATTCCCAGTTCTCAGTGTATATTAAAAAACTTTTTATGATATTCCTAATACCTGCCCGTATGTAGCGATATTCCCGTCAAAGTTTTTAATAAAAACACGATGTAATGAGGCATAAAAAATAACAGCAATCTCTAATACAAGCTAGATGGTACCAACAAATCCCTTGAATTAAAAAAACTTCATATAATCTCTAATTAAAGTAAGGAAATATGTGTAAATATTCGAATACCCTGTTGTTTGTCTACAAATAGCGAGTATTGATGTGTACAATTCGCCTCTATTTTGTCACGTTTCGAAACCAAACAAGCACTTTTCAATCCACTCTGTTTTTTGTTCGAAATGAAAATCAGACGTGCTCGAACGAACGGGTTACATTTTTAGAGCGAATCTATATAAAAAGAGATCATAATTTCGGAGTCGTTCGCATTCGGATGGAACGGGAATTGTAAATGGCGTAAATCTTCCTTTTTTCGAGTTATTACCTCGTAAATTTTCGTTTTGTAGTGACCGGAAAGCCCTTAGATTACGTTGTAAATACGCGCGCGATAAAATATGATATTGATCCCATTGTGTACGATACACAGGAACGTATTTATAATGATTTACGTGTTTAAGATGATCAAAAGAAGAATTAAGAAAATTCAGAAGAAAATACAAACAAATAATCATAAATTATCATCTCATATATCATTAGGTTGTACAATAAAAGGAGAAATTGGGTTGTTATAAAACGTTAGTTAATTTCTCATTAAACTCGCCATGTTTTTTTATGTATTTCAATAAAGAATTGTAGTAACTTTTTTTATTAATAACTAATTATACAATTAAGAGAAATTGCACGAAATTGCACATGCAACAAAGAAGCAAATCCTATGAAGTGTTAAATAAACGAAAAACACTCCTGTTAGAGGAAAGAATCAACTAAATCCAGATTGAAAATTTTATACCTAGTCATAAACGCGATCTCAAAGCGTGCGACATTAATTTGAGCACCAGCCAATCCAATTAGAGCCGCACTGGTCGAGAATAGAAGAAAAACGAAACGAAAAATTCGTTCCGAGAACAAAAGTAAACTAACCGAAGATATTTCTGCAAAAATCACAAAAAAAATAATCCGATATTCCGTAATAAACTGTCAATGTACAGATTGATGCTCGCACTGGATCCGCAAAATTTCATTAAAATTTAACTCTGTCCAAACAAAGGGTTGATCGGTTCGTGTGTTACGATTTCCATTACCCATGTACACCCCAGTTAACCGAATTTCCTCAAAAACGTAAACTTTCCGAACCGCTCTACAAACTATAACTACTCGTCGAAAGTTGGTATAGAGTTAGAGCAAATGCACGCATTCATTATTCAGGAGCTGGAGGCGTCGTTTTCTCAAATTTACATCGGCGTTTGGCTCCTGTTTATCCGCTCAACAACGGTCAAGACATTACAAATACAGCACAAAAAAGGCGTAATTGCTAAGAGAATTGTTACGTTTTCGAGGTAGGGTAGCAGTAATGTTTCCTCGAGAACAATACACCCCTTTAGTTACATCTTTATACCATTCGTTATTTACAAAGCGCTGTAAATTTATAATTTATATCACCGGTATGTTGTTGATGTTCTTTTCTTTTCCGAATTTCCGAGAGGTGCAAGAGATCCCTCTACCCTGCGTTCCTACGGGAATACTTCTAATTCTCGAGAACGTAATGCATCATCCTCGGGAAGTGAGAGTGCGAGTAACGGGATATGGGGGCACGCGGAGAGAGAGAAATTATTAGGTATGCGAAATTTAATGGGTTTATTTTATAGGCTTTGATTCGGGGGCGCCCTTTAAAAATTCCTCTCGCTCATTTTTTTTTCGGCGAGCTCTCCAGAAATCGAGTTTATCATCCGTCATTCTTCTTCGTTAAAATGCGAAAGCCTCGCAAATTGGACAAATTGGGATTATTAGACACTCGGTATGCGTTCCGTTGGGAACCCAATAACCAATCGAATCAACCAGAAATTAACCTTTCCACAAGTTTCATCATTCCGAATCCGGTGTATCCACTCGACATTTCGGCGCTGGATATCCCGAAGGAGGTTAATGAAGTAATTTCCGATCGGTATTTTGCGGATGGAGATATCTATTAAAATTCATTAAGATTTATGAAGATTTCGAAAACCGTTAAATGAGTTTTGTTCCAACCGAAAATTGTTATGTATCTACTAGCGCATTTATAAAGATATTCTTCCAAAACTGCAGCCATAATTTTCCCCAAAGCAATAATCATTTCATGCAAGTTGCAACGCTGCACAATGTTGTGAATATATTATACAATGTTGTGAAGTTTCTTTCAGTATTTAGTAAATAGGATTAAATTCAGTAACTATTCGAAAAGTGTATAACTAGGTATTCTTCGAACAGACGTTGATGTGATTTGGTAGACACAAATCGAGAAACTTTCAGGTCGTATCAAGAAACTACAGACGAGCGAAACCAAAGTTATCCGATATGTTCTGATAACTATTGAACGATAGGGGGAAGTTTAGCGGTCGGGAAAGTTGGTTTTTCTTCTCCCTTCGGAACCGAAAAAAATTTAATATTCTCCGTTTGGTTTGTTTTCAGGCATCTGAGATTCACGTCATGTGGACATGACGCTCCGACATGACGATGAAAAACCTAGTGGGGATCATGTGGATGATTCACGTTTTAGTTCTAGGTAAGTGAATTTTATAAAAGCGCCCCTTTTTTGGTTCGCTATCACTCAGAAATCGTGTCGTAAATAACAAATTTCTGTGATCATCGAATAGTATTATTTTTTTATCGAACATATCCATCTAATTAATTGACCATTCGGAATCAATTCACTCGCCTGGCATCAAGACGAGTTTTTACTGTTACGATTATTGCGAAAAACACCCTTTTACTGCTAGACGTAGTGGATGGAGAAAATAGAATAATTTAGGATGTCGTCGAAGCGAAAAACGCATGTTCCGAGTTTCGCGTCGCGGAAAATCGGAAAATCTTAGAGCACAAATGAAACGATCGAATGAAAACCCTAGTAATTTGCGAAGTGACGTTTATTGTCCCGTTTTTTCCCTTTCCCAATAAAACGACTTCGAGCTATTCTCCGCGAACGCCGGCCAAAATGAATATAAGTTTACAGTTTTTTCCCTACTTTTTAATGAGATCGACTCAATAATTTAACGTACAAAAAGATAAATTATGAGAACAGCACGATAATGGAACAATGCAACAATTATACGATACGTAATTATCGATTTATCTCGAAAACAGTATACCTTAGAAACTTTTTGTGTCTATTCTAGAGAACTTTGAGAACGTTTTGCTGGTGACACATTGTCACTGACAGACTCCCTGATGAGAAAATATTACGCAAACACGACGCTCAAACGAGTAAATACGTAAATAAGAAGGAAACCGTTTAATTGGCAGTCGAGCTCCTTCTTGACGCTGATGGTAAACAATTAAACGAGTTAATTACGGAGTGTTCGTGACGTTGCATATTTGAAGACATTCTATACTGTATATTATATTTCATGTATTTGGGTTTTATTTAGAATTTCAATTCAAAATGTAGCCTGTATCCTGAAATAAGGAAAAATGGACACGAAAAGCTGCTAGAAACCATAATTAGACCTACATTTTGACCTACGCTTTGACATACATGGTATACTTTGAACTATACTTTGACCTACTTTGTTTTATAGCTCATTAATTGGTGCATATTATCATTATTTTGCATTGCACTAGTTTCAATTATAAATTCCATTTCCAACGAACCAATTGGTAAGTTAAGTAACTGAATGTATTTTATACCACCTGGAAAGGTACGATAAATACAAATTCGATTAGGCCATTATAACGGCAGCGTCGCGTTTTATTATAGTTTTAACGTAATCATCAAAGGGCATCGTAACAAAGGGGGTAATTGCGTTGAGGGTACGATCGTGATGAATTGTAATTGCTCTGGAAAATTAAATTCAGGTACACCGTATTCCGCGTAAACGGAGACTTGAAATTTCGCATTATTTATGCATCAACGCCCATTTCGAACCGTGTAATGACTATTTTACACAACAATGGGGAGGATAAAACCGGTATTACACTAAAAAATGGTATAGAACACATTTTGCATCGCTAGGTAGATATTATCTATGAATTGTTTAGATATTATAATCTAGAATTGTTTAGTTTACCACTACGACAATGTTTTCCTTATGTAAGTTTTACTTGTATATCTACTCGGATCTTTATGTGCTTGTATAAAGCTGCAGTAATATGCATACAATAATATTTTCTTTAATGCTGCTATGGATAAAGCCCCAAATATTTCAGACATATAGAAAAAATTCATTTAAAGATTTTTTTTAGTAACTGGAATAAGAAGTACCTAAATTCTTTCTTTCCATCTATAAAAAAATAAATAAAACTTATTATTAACACCTCCACGTAGCATTATATTTTTCATCCTTACGTAGGCATCAAATCATTGAAAATAATTCCCGTTCGCATCAGATACATTCCGAAACACGAAAAATTCCGGTATCCATATAAAACGGGATGGCCGACTTTTCAGCGACAGCGACTGCTTTTCTCACGAGATCTCGGGGGTATTTTCTGCATTCAAGCGAATTGAAAACCCTAATGGTTTTCGATCGGTAAATGGAGAAGAGTATAGGTACGAATTTTTCTTTATTTTCGCCTGAGAAATAGGTACTTACACTTAATCGGTAAAGAGGATAACACAAAACACTGCGTAAATTGAGTATGGAATGAATAAGAGCCTTAAAAGTAATTAGATTGTCGTAAACATTATTTTCACATATATAAATGTTACATTGGAATTTAGGTATTTCACTGTATAAGTATACTCATCCTGTATGATCCTAATTCTTCGAGATAAAAAATTCTCAGGAGTAAAAAAAATGCGGCCTCGGATAATTCGGAATAATGCCGATTATATTTTCCTAATAACTCGGAAAAATACGACGAAAAAATGCGCTTAGTAGGGGGAAAGTAAAAGGGATTTTACTACCTAAACCAAAGATAAAAGAAGTAAAATACCACATTCCGTAATCCTCCGAGATTCTAATCTTATTCTCCGTTCCAGCGCTATTTTTCTCTCCGACACGATCAATCTCAATTAATCCGAAAAATTTCGACGCTTCGAACGCCGCCGAAAAATTCAAAATGCACGTATGTTACAGGGTGTTCCGGTAATCCAGACGCGAAACGCCTCTACGATGATCTGCTATCGAACTACAACAAATTGGTGCGACCCGTTATCAACGTCACCGATGCTCTCACGGTCAAAATTAAGCTCAAACTATCTCAACTTATCGATGTTGTAAGGAAATCTTTTGCTTTCTCCAACCAGCCAGTTGTTCATTCGCGGTTTAACGCCAATATTTATCTACTTGCAAACTTTGATAATTGATTTATCGATGTAATTCGACTTCGATTTGGTAATCGTAGTCTGTGGCTAAAGTGTGAAGTTACTAGTTTAAATTCTTTGTGAATACCACTGCGAATTCGTGGTTGTATTTAATAAACCTCGTTTGTTAAACTGGCTGTGAATTATGTCTACTATAATAACTTTTCTTAAACTTGAACTGGCTTTTTAACAGCTACAATGGTTTAGTTGAATAAGTTTCTAAATGTAGCTAATAGTATAGGAAAAGTTATCGCAATTGATGAAAAAAGGGTATTAAAAAATGAATCGTATTCGTTTCTTTTGTTGTTACAGAACCTCAAGAACCAAATCATGACAACGAATTTATGGGTTGAACAGGTACTAAATTATTTTCTTAATTTTAAATTAGTAGAGATAAACTGGAAGATATACTATAAAGGCAAACTTCCCCAGAACTACTATAAATTCACTAGATTTGATGAAAATTTTATTGAGTTTGAGCTTCCCAATTGTAGTCGTTGAAGTTATGAGGGGAAAACTTTGCTAAATTTTTAGTGAATCGCCTATTTCTTTTAGGCTTGGTACGATTACAAGCTCAAATGGGACCCAAAAGACTACGGTGGCGTCGAAATGCTTCACGTTCCTTCTGATCACATCTGGCGACCTGACATTGTCCTATACAACAAGTAAGTGCACTATAAAGAATGATAAAGTGGTTGAAAACAATTTTTAACCCGAAATGTCGTATTAAATTGGAGAGTTTTTGAGTAGAGAATTGAATAAACCGCGTGAAAATTTTTCGATTCTTTTTTGTAGCAACTTCGAATTCCAATATAACTTTGCGGTGGAGTTCGGGAAAAGTTTGACAGCCACTGAGCCTTTTTCCACTAAAATACCTTCCAGAATTAATCCCGTTTTCGCCTAAATACACAAAAATCTCGACTGAAATATTACAGTTATTAAAAATCGGAATAATCCGCCGCACTATGGAAATGAATTCGACCCTACTAAACCACTGCCATGCACTCTGCTCCATTTTCCGCTCTGACGGTTCTTCAGAAACAACTCTCATAACTTCTGCTATTTACCTATTTTAAAAAAATAAGATAAAAAATACCCACCTCAAAGTCTTCAATCCGCTCGAATTCCCCGCCATAAAAGAGCACATTTTTCCGAGACGCTTTCTTTCAGAATAATTCCTTTTCCCGCATTCCCTTCGTATAATAAAAACAGTAAAGGCCACAATAAAAAATAACTGTGTGAATTATTGTTCTAGGAAATGATAATTCTATTTTTAAGACATAAACTTTCATATGATATACTCGCACTAATATAGTGATGATACCACAACTTAAAATATGGAAAATACTATTAATAATACTAAGTGTAGCAAAAGGAATTCTACCTTAAATTTATTCTAGTTGAATGTCAGATTCATCAAAATATAAGTTTGCGGCAACATCATATTTGCATGCACTAGTTTAACAAAAGCATTAAAGTTTAAGCAGAAGGCCAAGTTAGTGATGGCATCTCCGCTATACTAGAGTCCACTTAGAGTGAGGTAAAAGTCGAGGAAAATTGCGAAAATTGCAGGGAGGTAAAGCCGAGTCATTAGAATTGGCGGAAAGGAAAGGAGGGCGCGACACGGCGTGCATTTCGATCAGGAATTGATGATATTCGACGTGTCACTCCGGAGAATTCGAATTAGAAGGACCGGGGCGGGGTGGGTTTCGGCGAAAAGGGGGCGAAGCTGTTTGTCTACGTTTGCTCGAGGTGCTCGAGAGTCAGAGATAATAGGAAAAGGGAACGTTTATCTAAGGTGTGAAACTTATTGGCTTCTCCGTATTATGTATTATGCAAACATTTATCATTAGAAATTTACCCTCGTATTTGATGGGGGATTCTACAATAGGATGTTTTTGCCAGATTTAATTGCTAATTGAGATCGTTTTAAGATTATAAGGATTTTTTGCAGTGCAATTTTTTTAATCGAGTTAAAAATAAAAGATAATAACTTTTCCAATTATTCCGGGGACACACCGTTCGGATGAAAAACAAACACGAAAAGGTACCTATTAATTATCCGTTCGCTGGAAATAGAAAAAAAAACGAAAAGAAAGGAAAACAATTCTTCGTTAAATTGGAAAAAGCAAAAATAATATTCTCCCGAGCGTGGATCAAACGAAATGCTCATACGAACAATCCCAATTAAACCTGCAATTTTATTTCGAAATGTAATTTTTAACTCATTTTTCTACGATTTTCTTTGAAGTAAAACTTTTTTAAACTTACATTCTCTGCCTAATTTTTGAATCGCCCTATAGACGAGTAGTTTGGTGGTTATTCAAGCAGTTGATGTTTGTTTTTCGAGTGGAATATTACGCTTTTTTTCGATTCCACTGTTTTTTGCCAGGAATAGACCCGAAAATGGTCGAAGGGATAATTTATATTCCGACGAGCAGATCAGTTAACGAGGATTCAATATTGTTCGACAAACAACAATAATAGGGATTTGAGGGCGCGTCGGAAAATGTCGTGAGACGAATTCGCCAGAGATCGGATGATTTACGAGACGTTACGTTTTTTATTTATTTTTTCCCACCTAAAAACGCTCGTACTCACCCCAACCAACGATATGTTTGCGCTTTTTACGAAAATACGATCCAAATCGAAAAATTTAAAGTGCCTTATTGTTGAAATTGCGAAGCTACAAAACTATCTATCAGTCGCCTTGATTCACCGATCAACAACAAAAATCAGGTCTCGTAAGTAGTTCGTTGACAATTTTCTCACGTAGAAAGCTTTTTAATTGAGATTAAAAATTCATTACCGTATATAAAAATTAGCGAGTTTATAAATAAAACAAATCCATTAGGCTGCAACTAGAACTCTCGCATAAAATAACAAGCCTTCTATTCTATAGGTCTACAGCTCTACAGTGCAACTAGTAAACACGTTTAGTTTTATTTGTGTTGGCCGTCTACTATCCCTATTGCAGTGTTGAAAAAACAACGCCCGCACCCCACCTAAACTAAGTAAGATTTAATGAACCCCAATGGGCACGACTCGTATTTATAATGCAAGTATGCAATTAGGGGATTCCCAGACCGAGCTCGATTTCTCTTCTCTCCCAGTTCGCGGTCCGGGGGATTATTAAGGCAAAAGACGGCACACAACACTCGAGAAAATCGCCGGGCGGAGGAAGACTCGTTAGTGGTATTTAATTTCGAATGAAAATAGTAAAGAAGGCGTGTAATTGCAATTTGTTTTCGAGCAAAATGTTTTTATTCGGATTTGTGCGCATACAAATTGGGAATTTCGTTGTTATGAAAAATGCATCCTGAAACAGTCTGAACAGTTCGACTTATGAATGCGATGAAATATAGAAAATATTAGTAGTTTAATATGGAAATGGAAATTGAAATTTTATTAATTGCACCTTACAAATATTTTAGATTGCCCTTCATCGATCATACAGCTCACTAGAGTGTCATAAAAAGCATTCAAATTGAGAGATATTTGATTGAATTTTAAAACGTATGAAGTAAAAATCGCGACTAAACGATCGGAAAAATTCGCGAAAGAATGTTGAAATGCGTTTTGTTGCAGTGCCGATGGAAATTTCGAGGTGACGCTCGCCACGAAGGCGACGCTGAATTACACGGGTCGCGTCGATTGGAAACCGCCGGCCATCTACAAGTCTTCCTGCGAAATCGACGTCGAGTATTTCCCCTTCGACGAGCAGACGTGCGTCATGAAATTCGGATCTTGGACTTACGACGGCTTTCAAGTACGCTGTTTGATTTATCTATTTTTTTTATTAAAAATCGTTAAATGATGAAGACCGATATAGAAGTTGATTTGGAACGATCCGTGGGATGGAAATTGCTGCTTATACGGAATAAATGAATAGAAAATAAAGTTTTTGGAGTGGAGTGGAGTTGCGAAAAGCAGATACAAACAAAATGAGTTAAAATTGCTTTAGTTTTACAATAAGTAATAGGGTAACTCGTAACTTTTAAGCAATATATTAAAAGTTACCAACATTTCAAGATTCCTTTTATAGCTTGTATTGTTTTTACCCTCTCATCTTTCGTTGTTCTACAATAAATCGACGTTTATTGTCGCCGACAGGCGATATTTTTTCGGCGCTTTTCACTTAATGTAATTCGACGAGGATTTATTAAACGCGACGCGCGTACGAAGCATTAAGCGAATTTGACTTTGATTTCAGCAAGAAACAGCCATCAAACCCAACTCTACAACCCATCATGACGTCCGACCGTTTTAACGTCGCTGTATAAACTATTAGATAATAATTCAGCGGTGATTGGTGGATGTTTAGATGGAATGTTGGTTGAAAACGATATTGAATAATTGCGTGGTGGCGTTGATGTTTCGCGTTTTGCTCGCATGATGCTCAGATTGCTTGGTAAATTATTAACCCCAAAGCGAATTAACCGGAACGTCATAACATACCGAGTACTCCTCGAAAAACTTTGAATTAACGCAATGCGCAAAATTTAATCACTGCAGATTTTTAACTATTTATATCTAACATAAAAATATAACGAATAGTTAATATTAATTTTTGTAGTTTTCCAATATTTAGTACCTTATTTAGAAGTGTATAGTTTTTTAACGACCTGCTGCTGTTATACCGATTATAAGAAGAGTGTTATATTGTTGTATTTTGTTTCCTTTTAAATGGTTGGAATTTCTGAGCCTGGGAAATGACGTTCGATAAAAGGGTATATCTATTTTGAAGACTATTACGTTTCCACACAACAAAAAGATCTCCCGTGGAAAATTCGACTGGGAACGTGTTTGCCGGTCGGCGGTGAAAATAACAGCAAAAATCCACTTTATGCCGCTCCTCGACCGAAATCGAACTGTTTTATAAAGGACGTGCTCTTTACACCCGATCGTCGAGCTTGTAAATGTTTAACAACGGCAAAAACACGCCGGAAATTCAATTTATTTCATAATTACGTTTTTCTTCGGCAGATAATACATCATCAGAAAAACCTATGTAGTGGATATTTAGGGGAAAAATCACAGTTGCGTTTCATTGCAGGTAGATTTGCGTCATTTGGACGAGATGAAAGGATCTAACATAGTGGATATAGGTATCGACTTGACTGAATTCTACACATCTGTCGAATGGGATATCTTAGAAGTTCCTGCTGTAAGGTAAAAACGTTTGTGACCTATATTTTTTGTCACGCTCTGTATACGGCGAGAATGTAAATCTAACTATTCACAGCATGTCGCGTTAATTTTTTATATAGGAGCTTGAGACATGCATGAATAATCGATATTCCTCCTTGTGCTTAACTTCAAAAGTGTTTTCTCCTCTCTTTATTTCACAGCATTCGTTATCCCGCTATTATCGTTAGTGTTACACGCTGACCTAAATTAACTTTTTCTATGTTTATCTTATTTTTGTATATGTTTTTGGGTCCTCTTCACTCGATAATAAACATTTTATCCTAACGTTTAACGTTTTTTTTGTGTTTCCAGTAATATTCACAAACGAATGAAACGAGGAAAATCTCTACGCTTTTTTGCCTCGTTTAATATTGAAAAGTCGAAAAATTTAAATCATTAAAAACTACTAACAAACCTATTTTTTCCTACGCTCATTTCGCAGGAACGAAAAGTTTTATACGTGCTGTGATGAACCGTACCTTGATATAACTTTCAACATAACGATGAGAAGGAAAACGCTCTTCTACACCGTCAACCTGATTATACCGTGCATGGGAATCTCCTTCCTCACCGTGCTCGTGTTCTATCTTCCCTCCGATAGCGGCGAAAAAGTAAGCAAATTACTGTACATATTTCCAACGGCACGAATTAATTTTAACATTTACTTTACATAAAAATGTAAGTATGATTGTAACGGAGATCTTAATTTGCAGGGGTAGTGAATTATGAAAATGGCATATTAACGTTCTTTTTAAGAGGTTGTTTGTGAGAAGCGAAAGACTCGACAAAATAAAGAAAAATAAGCTTTTTAAAATATTTTTAGATCCTTAAAAATCTCCTTAAGTATTCAATAATTAACTCACAAATACGTCACAAAAACGTAGGTACTAAATATCTCCATAAAACCACTCTATACTTTTTTTTATAATTAGGTAATTAAATAAATTTATTACAGGTAAGTTTATCGATCTCAATTCTACTGTCACTCACTGTGTTCTTCCTCCTTCTCGCCGAGATCATCCCTCCTACGTCGCTTGTGGTGCCTTTGCTTGGCAAATTCGTGCTGTTTACCATGATTTTAGATACGTTCAGGTACGCTCAGTTTGATAAAGTCGCCGTTAAGAGATGCCCGATTAAAAAAAATCCTCCCGCACTAGTCAATCGAGCACTTAATCGAGTTCATCTACTCCTATATCTCGTTTCTTCATTCGATCTCCCAAAAAAGTTGACGCATTAAAATATCATTAGCGTTGATGGGACGAGACGGATTTTTATTAAAAAGGATTCGGCTATTTCGTTCTGGATAGCGACAGCTCGAGATTAGAGAAAGGGTTCTCGAAATCCAACTAAATAAGATACCATTGATTGGATACACTGTATTACCATAATAAAGGCTTATGTGTTGTTATTTTGTGCTCGTGTACATACAAACTTTTGCATACACAAAATAATTAAATTATTAATAAGTTTGGCATAAATTCGAATTGTTTGGAAACGAGTTTTGTTTGCTGTGAAATTTCCAATTTCGATTTGCGTGTGTAAATTCGGATTTTTTTGTTGCGAACATTGAGTAATGGACTAGTATTGGCATGTTTTTGTAGTACGCTAAAAGCGATTAATTTTTCATCACGATAGACGGAAAAAGGACGTAAATTGATCCTTCGTTTGTAGCCTACTATGTGATTGTAGTAATTTTTAACGTGAAATTTTTTCTGCCGCTTTTTTTCGCTCGATCGCGCGACATATGCTCCATAACGAGAGAATGATTATAGATTATAAAATAAACGCAATAAATACAGAATAGAAATTTTCTCTACTTTTTTACATACAGGTAAAATTTGTAATGAAAAATAATTTATACGCCACCGGATTGAAGAGCCCAGAAGGGTTGAAAAAAACATACAACCCGTGTCAAAACCGCTCATTAAATATTCCTCCTTGATAGACGAGGCGTTTGCCTCTTACAGAACTCGAAAGGGTGGAAAACCCGTTGACCCGCCATCAAAATACCCGCGTAAATAATTCAACCTGGAAAGGGCACAAGAAATTTTAACCGCCGCGTTCGATGCATTTAAAAATAACGAAATTTAACAATTCACACAATCGTAAACGATTCCCGCTTTAAATTTTCTATTCCCTTTTAGTATATGCGTCACGGTTGTTGTGCTGAACGTGCACTTTAGATCGCCGCAAACGCACGTTATGGCCCCATGGGTGCGAAGAGTCTTCATCCACATTTTACCGAGGCTATTAGTAATGCGCAGGCCTCATTATCAGTTGGACAGCAGGAGGTATGGATTTATTTTATTAATCAACAAATACACCACACGTGCCACCAAAGTGACTAAAGCATCTTTCAATTAAATATATGAAACGTTAATTACACATAACGAATATACGCGAATTAATTTACGAAATTACGGGAAAGGTCCTTTAGGAACTTAACACCAGAGTCGGACTAACGTTATGTACACACGAACATCAGCTGTAATTTATGTTTGAGGAAAATAATTCGGTATAGTCCGACCCTGGCGGTTTCTGTAAATTTCAACGATGAAACTTGTGCTTTAATATTTAGCCATCGCGTCATGGTCAGGACCTGTAACGGTCTCGAATTGAGGGATTCCGGACTCTATCCGGACGCATCGGAGCTGGTGGACGATCCTTCCGGTTATTTCCCGAACGCCAGTTCCATAGACGAACTGACGCCGAGGTGAGCGGATCATAATTTAAAATTAAGTCATTCGTATAATCGAATTAATCCCGACGTGACGTGAATACGGCCACGCCGGCTTATAATTCGGAAACAAAGGTAGCCCGACTCAAACGTTCGAAATCGCCGTGCGGGTATATCAATTTCGTGGATCATTGATAATAAAATTGATTCCGTAGGATAATCCGCTAGTAGAGGAAGTGCGCCATATATGGACCACCATAAGCTCTTTTTCTCAATAAAAAATCGAATTTTAAATTTTAATCAGCTTTATTTATATTAAACAATTCCTTAACCATTTAGTTAAGAAAAACTTGATAATAAAATTCTCCAAAAAACAAAATCTTTGAAATAAATAACATTTTCTAAAGTATATCATTTTTATGAACTTTCTGAAAGTGAACATAATATGAACCACATTCAGGTTTTTTCATTTCTAGGATATATTTGACTAATTTATGCTCCAATTCACTCGGTAATGTTGATTGTCTCCCAAGTTTTTGGGTGGTGATATCATTATATAGCATTCAAAGCATTCAAAAATATCAAAGATAAGCATTCAAAAAGCACATTTTCTTTTCTCGTGCATTTTTAATTGCCTCCACCATTGCGTTTTTTATCCCATGCTTGTCTGGTCTTCTTCATTGTTTTAGAAAAAATTAGATATCTGATGATTGTATTTTAGGTTTTAAAACATGCAGAACTTTTTATGAAGAATAACTTTTTTTCGTAAAATTAATAATAAAAAAGTTTTCCATATGGTGCGAACTTAAGTAGACACACTGTATATGCTTGCATCCTGGATCACTGCAAGCGACAGATGGGTCAAGGGATGAGTGATGCTTAGTGTGTGGTGTTCATTTACTCGATATAAAGCACGTTCTTCTTAAAATGGCGGTGGTCCATATTATAAGACCGGTCCAAATTTGGCGCACTTCCTCTACCTACATCAAGGATTAATTTTCTAGTACTCAATGAGCGCGTATGATTTTAGAGAACTGGAAGCCGGAGCGCTGAGATCGTGCAGCATCCACGGGACGACGCCGCCGCCCAGCATGGCATTCCATTTGGGCGAGCACCTATTAGACGATAAAGGAATAGGGCACATAGAAGATCACCTCAACGACGTCTTGTTGAACGACTGCCACCCGTGGCATCATTGTCCCGAGGTCCACAAAGCCATCAACGGGGTTAGATTCATCGCTGACCACACGAGGAGAGAAGAGGACTCCACCAAGGTGATTTACGTAAAGTGCGCTGCTTGTAGGTTGTTTTAAAATGGGGTTGTTTGAATGTTTCAGGTGAAAGAAGACTGGAAATACGTGGCTATGGTTCTGGATCGTTTGTTTTTGTGGATATTCACATTGGCGGTACTGGTAGGTACTGCGGGCATAATTCTTCAAGCGCCTACGTTGTACGATGATCGTCGGCCTATCGATATCCGTTTGTCCGAAATAGCCTCCACTACTGCAAAGCCTCATCTCGCTATTTCGTTATAATTTTCCGTATATTTTTTTATGAACGTTCGGATGTTTAATTAAATTAAAACATATCTAGAGATAAATATTTTGGTTTTTATGAAACATTGAATTATGGTCGGGCAATGAAATTGTTCATAATTCAATTAAAAAAAAAACGGTAGGATTTTAGAAGTTTTCGAGTCATAAAATTTAATGTAATACCTATTTACCTATTGCAACAAACTGGTTACATTTTAATCGAATAATCTATAAGCAACACACATTCGTTATCTATCGAGTAGACGTAGAAATGTATCAACAGGGCCTATTTTTAGTTTTTATAGTTTTTGTATACGCGAATAGTCAAAAAGGCTTTTGTTGTTGATGAATGTCCATTTTAGAAAATTATTTTAAATCTGGTTAAGGATCGCTCTTTTATATAATTTTGTTATTTTTTAAGAGACGAGAAAATTTATATTTTTAATAAAAACGAGCACCGAAAAATATTAAAAAAAGCATAATCAATAACGAAACTACAGAACATAGAAAAGTTCAAAAATTTTAAAACTGTTATACTGTTAGACGAAAAATCGGGATCAACTGTATGTAATCTCTATTTCTATAGTCTGTAGATAAAAAATATATATAATAAGACATACGATAAAAGATTATCTAATTTTAAGCATTGAATATTATAATATTGTTTTTAAAACAGTTATTGCTTAGTCAATATTAAAATAAAATGCGATTTATAAGAAAGTCATTATCGAAATTACTAAAAGTCGGCATATGGAATATGAATATACCAATTTTTCCAGTAATTTCTTTAATATATTAACTTGCCTTGACATAAAATAACCTTTTTATAAAAAATGAAATCTCGGCTTCGAAACTATGAAAAAATATTTTCGTATAGATTTGTATTAAGTATTTAATTCAGGGTGTTTTCGCTTATATCACGTAGGAATTAATACTTGCGAATTTTCTCAGAAAAAAACGATTACCTACTATACGTTCTAAAACTCCTGGATTATCAAATGGAACTGAATAATTGTTCAAAACCATAGAATTTAAATGTGTGTAGAGATTTTAAGCATTAAATTTTTGTTTTTTTAGGTGTCAAATTGCGTTTGTATTACCTTATCCCAATAAATAACACCAATTCCAGTATTTATACAACTTTGTTTCATTTTTCCTCATCATACCAGATACCTAAAGAATATTTTTTTAAGTTCAAAAATAATTTAGTAACCCAAATCACGTCACGAACCATGTGATTGTATGTATATAGTCTATCTTTCTCGAATTATACCTTATACCTTGGGCTCGACGATGCCATCTCTTGGAAGATAGGGCAATCAAAAGGGAGTCCTGTAGATTTTGAATTCAGGATACTTTTACTTCTGGATGAGCCAGGAGAAATCAGGATGCTACCCTTAACATTAACGGGTAGATAAGAGTTTCTGGAGTTTGCTCACTGATGGCGTTTCGAAACTTTTCTGTGTACAATTTATTAGCTAAATTACTGAAAGATCTAATTAACCGCTATCTACCCCAAAAAAATTGGCGAATTATAGCAGAATGAAGAGAGAGGCAATTCAGGTAATGGAACGTAATTCAGGCAATTCAGGCAAAATTCAATGGGGGAGTACAGAGAATTTTATAGCTAGTAAAAAAAGGGATAATTAAAATTTGACAAAGTTATTGAGATTTTCCACGGTTGTTAAATTGTCAAAGGCCGTTCGATGATTAAAAAGAAAAACTCCATTAATGGGCCAAATGGATTTTTTATTCAAGTTCAAGTTCATCGAATGAGCGCTCAATCGAAAACCCAATCGGCACGCGACATCCCAAATCGCCGGCGATTAACGAGTTTAGCGAAAAAGCGAACGGGTTTAATTCTGCAAATATATCGGCGCGCTAATTGGCCCATCGAAAAGCTCGTTTCCGGTTCGCCCAAAATCAATCTAGGCACAAAACGGGAAATAGGCGAAGAGGAAAAAAAAACAGCGACACACAGCTTAAATACACTCATCACGGTTGTTCTCGTTGCTCGCAGCACGGAGCATGCCCGGCGTCGGCCGCACGCTGGATAAACGCTGTTGCATCTGGATATCCTCCAGTTAACGCTCGGCAGCTCGACGTCGGGAAAGCGGGAAAAGTCCGGTCCGTCGAAGGACCGATTTTTGGCGAAATTTCGAAATCGAACGTTCAACGCCGTTGTATTCCGTTTAGATGTTAATTAGTTGTAAGATTTTTTTTTAAGTTTACGTTGAAGTATTTCAAAGTGGTAAGTGATTTTCTCCCTAAAAAATATCTTTATCCTAGATATAATAAAGTAGTCCTAGATTATCATAAATTCTCTTACTATTAGATACATTTAGAAACTACTTGTAGTCTAAATAATTATTTTAGTAAAAATCCTGTTGGGAAATTTCCCAATTGTAATTACCTATTGGCTATTAATTGGTGTAGTGCTAACTTTACTGGAAAAAATACCGTTTTCGAATCTAAATAAATCGCAAATGAGTTTACTTTACCTACGTACCCGAAAATGTTTACGATAACGATTTGGAAATAAATTGCGCGTCGCTTTCCGTTTTCCTCCAGGTCTCGACGAGCCTGAATTTTTTGCGATAATTTCGCGAATTTTCTTTGCCATTTTTAAGCGCAACTCAAAAAAGCACAAAACCTGACCGAAAACGTCGGTTTAACGGCCAAATCGATCGACATGCACATGCGTGCCGTCTGAAATCGTGCATTTTTAATTTCGAAATAAAATTATTCTTCCTGTTGATTAAGATGTTGATGGATTTTAGAGATCTCTATCAACGTTTTTTGAAGGTTACTTGGAATAAATTGAGGATTATTTGAGGATTTATGACGATTTTTGATGAAGATGTTGTAAGAATTTATGATGGTTAAAGATTATAATAAAGAAGTTTGGCTCTTATTCGATTTGAAAAGGAATTTCACTATAATTATTTACAACAAAAATCCCTCTGTTTCTCTATAATTAACATAAAGTCTATAATTATCTATTTTGTATTATAATATTTGGTAATCTCTCTAATAAGTGGTAAATTACATATATTTTTTATATTTACAGATCCTTCTGCAATAAAAATCTCACCAAGGAATTGAAACGAAAAATCAAACCGGAAAAATTTTCGAATTAATCGTAGCCTTTTCGTCTGTAAAAAGTATTCTCTCGAGCGCAATTAATTGTTAAGTAATAAGCATAACGTAGCCTTTTTAGCGTAACGAAAATTACTATAGCAAATAAAGTAATTAGTTACTGGTATCGTTTTATCGGTAAACGCATCGAAGTGTTAATTGTGATATTAATTAGACGGAGAAAAGCCAGTATTAAGATTAGATTTAAAAAATGCATTGTTATTCGAATTCCGGGGCCGACTACTTGCACCGGAGGTCTTCTTACAGAGATGTCAACGTTTTCGACAGCGGCGAGTCTACGTTATCAGAAATGGACGGTAAGTTCACCAAAATTTCATCTACATTTCTGAAAGATCATTTTACTTTACATTACAACCCACATTTCCCAAGAGAGGTGAGGAAGCTGCTTGAATTTCAAGTCTAAAATTATTCTAATGGATCCCGAAACTGAGAAGAAATGTTCTTGTTATAAAAACTTTTCGGTCCATATATCAATCACAATGCCACTAAATCTAAATAATAGACAGACATCAAAATTTACTACATTTTGGGGCGAATATGTGGTGTGTGATTGGATGCCCTGTGAACCCCAATATGTTAATTATCCATTCAGGACTTCGATTTACATCATTACTGATGCAATTTGAATTACCATTAGCTTCATATTTTGCATGTTAAATCCCGGCCAACGGAACGTGTGGCGAATTCGATTATGTTCGACTCGCTTTTAAAATCTAATTTCAATTTATTAGGCATCAGGTACATAAAATAAATTTAACGTCCCGGGTTTTTCTTTACCGTAAATTTGTCGTAAAAACGCGGCTGGGAAAGCTGATTTTCTGTGCTTAAGTATTCTATAAAAAAAACTCACATTTTTTTGTAATTTCGGTATTTTCTTTTTATCGTTAATAATTGGTTAAGGGTGGGTAAAATATGAAATTGGTTTAAAGGTAACATTCATTAAATTTTGACATAAACCCAGTTTTAATTTTGAATATTCCTGGTATGGTAAATAAGAAAATAAAAGACCAAATTTTAAAGGGAATTAAAAAATAACAATAGAAATTTCGATAAAATCCTACGGTAGTGCCGAATCAAATTTTAATGGAAGTTTTGGAGTTAATCCAAATATTACCCGACCGACTGAAATAACCAAAACGATTAATTCGCAATAAAAATTCCAAAAGGATTTCTTCTGGTAATGAATAAAAATCCTATAAATATATAAATAGGTATACATCTCCTACACTTTCGGGCGCTCTTCTCGCCGAGTTAAAACGTGTTTGCTTTTACAAATTTGTTTGTCTTTACCATTCGTGTTTATAATTGGAGGATTCTTCTTTACCTAGGTTAACAATGTTAATCGAAAACTTCATTACATTCTAATTTTACTCCAAACAGTTTACCCAACGATTTAAAATTTTACACCGCGCGTTTCGACAGGCATTTCATTTTCATTACGTAATTTCCTCTTAATTTATGTAGAAAATACAAATTAGCTGTAAGCAAAACGAAGGATTTTCATATTAACTTGGTGAATCATAAATATATAAACTTTATATCCTTTAAAAAGTGTTTATAATGTATGATAAATGTACCTCATAAACAACCACAAAACACTACGTTGGACCAAGAAATGAGTATTTACTAGCCTATCAGTATATCACAGTTGTGTTGAGTTGGATTTTTGTTTGTATTGTTGCAGAATCGGAATCCGGATCGAGCTCGGTGTCCTCGGGCTCCGGCTCGGAATCGGCGATAAACATAGACCCGAACCTGCCCTATCCAGGAATAGCTCCGGTGACGTTGAGCTATCTTTCCCAAACCACCAGGCCCAGGAGTTGGTGTTTAGCGCTAGTTTCTAGCCCATATCCTTTTGATACTGTCACGAATGTGCATACGTAATTTCTTTGTATAATAGGAAATCGCCGAGGTTTCCATAACCAAGTATCGTCTGCAAGTTCTACTTCTCTCATTTAGTTTGATTCTATTTTATTTGAGGAAACCGCGCCACCCCAACTTGAGTTTATTTAATTAAATTTATTAAATCGAACTTTTTGGTTCATTCTAAATAGAATCCAAATCAGATATTAAAAATCTTTGGAAAGTTTTGCCTTGCAGATAAAATATCATTAAGTATAATAAGATGGGGATGAAAGATTGTTTATGGGGAAATCTCTACAATTTAGAATTTAAAGCGCCGGCGAAATTATCTATAATACCCACACAAAAACCTTAAATTCTATGGAAGATAGAGCTAACTACATGTATATACTAGTAGTTAGAATTCGGCTTTAATACGGTTCCGAAAGGCGCTAATTGTATAAAATAAATTTAATCAACACCTACGAAGGGATGAAAATAAGTCTTCCGTGCTTAAAAGAGAATTATGATATGCTTGGTGGACAGATGAAGGGAAACACGAATCACGTTTCGTGTCCTGAAAGGAAATCCCTGTGATTTAACCCACACTCCTGGCTATTATCCCGATGAAAACTTTCTGGATTATCGTGAGATTAACACCATCTGGGTCGGGATGAACTAATATTTATGCGACCCCCGATTTGTTGTGGAAATTCGAAATTAAATCAACGCAATATATTATAATGAATATCCAATTAATCAGCGAATTTGCAGTAATTTACAATTTTTGAAACTTTGAGAGTTAATTAGTATCAATGGAAGTAAAAGATTATTTGGAGTAAAGCTATGATAAACATGTTTAAATAAGAAACTTTCCAAAGATGCATTGAAATGATTTGTTTAATAATATACCTACTAATATTAAATAAATTAAATTTAAATACAAAATTGATCTAAAATAATGTTTGTAAATAATGCATTTTAAAGCTCGAACTAATGTCGAATGGATGTTTAAAATGTGTTGTTTGTCTGGATATTTCTTATTCTTATCATTATAGTTAGCATTTTCTTTTTTGTTCGTATATTTTCTTAACTAAACGATCTGTCTATCTCTTCAGTTTCTTTTTGTATAAATGCTTGTACTAAATTTTTCTCACTTGTAAATATCACTGTTTTGTTAATTTGGTGATTTCGGTTTGTGCATGAAAACGCTTTTCCGCCGATTAAGAGCAAGGGTACGAAAGAAACGGCGGCAATATTTTACAATGCAAATGTAGTAGAAAAAAAATGGAAATTTATTCTCCTGCTTAACGATGAAAATTTGCTTAAAAGAATTTTTTCCTTTCAACGGCTTCGCCGAATTCCATCATTAGTGTTTCGTTTCCTTGAAAAAACAATTCCGGGTGAAATTTCGTTTACAAAAAAATATCACATTATCTGTTAAGGGCACGAAAAACACATATCTACTATAATATAATTCAATTTTTTTACTAAACAGTAAGAAACTATAATAATTCGGAATTCTCTGTTTTAAATTATTATGAACTATCGAATGTAGGTATGGAGATGTGGGAAATATTAATTCGCCAAGAAGAGGCTGTTTAATTATTTACGAGTAGTTCGTTACGCCTGAAGGGGATCCTAACGCAACAAAATGAATTAATCATTTGGAAAACAGAACGACGTAAATCGACGGCATTGTTATTCAAGCGAAACGAAATTTTCCGCATTTTCTTTTGCCGTAAAGCGCCTAGAACATAAAACATTCCTTGGAATGATTAATTTACGATCAACACAAAAAACTAGGGTACCTTTGTTCTTGATCCCATTCTACTAGTGTTAATTTAGAATTATAATTTTCGTTTTCTGTGTATCTAACATGTAATAAACTAAACGAGAATTGCTATAAATAAATAATTAAATAACTTCACTTCTATTTTTCTAAAACTCTGTTTTGGTTCGGTTTTTTTTATTTGTTTCGACCATTCATATAGTTTAGTCCAAATCTAATTTTACACACAGGATGTCCCAATTGTTCATGTGCCTATTTAAATTTAACCCTTAAATCCATCTACCATCTTCACATCAATTTTAATTTCCCATACATTAACGTATTACAGCACCAAAAAATTGGTACAACCTGTACATGTACATAAAATTAAACACGTAGTTCTTCTTCATTTCATTTTTCCGAATCGAATTAAATATAGAATGGCATTGAGCGTGAGTTTAGCCCCTCAACAAGTTGCACGTCGAACGGTGAGGGGTGCTCTGGAGTCTGGATCCGGCTGTTCCGGAGAACGCCAGGTGATATCGGATCAATAAAATACCTGGCTAGTTTGGCTTGCATCTCGCATATTCCGGCTCGTTCTCGATTTTTAGCGCCTGTTGCTCTGAACTCGAAATGAAACGGTGAAATAAAAATTAGGCATGCCACACGTGCAAACATAATTATTTTAGAGGATTTGTTCATTCGGTTTTTTGGCTCGATTAATTATTCAGGGGTTTCGAACTAATTGAAAATGTTCGGAAGGATTTTTATTAAACGAGCTGTTTTGAAGTAGCATAAATTATTTGAGGGATTATTTGAACATTTTGGAAATATTAAATATGATTTTAAAGGAGCGAAATTTTGGCAAGATAAAAAAAAATATTTGTACTCGAATATCGAATTTATTTACCCATTACCTAGGTAAATACACGGTGAATAAAAAAAAAACATATCGTCCCGAGCCTTCTCGATAGTTACACATTCGTTTCTGTTTACAAATTAGAGCAAACTGTTCCTCCTGGGCATATGTTCACCGATAAAATTAGTAAAATCCATTAAGATTCGCTACCGATCGTAAATCAAATTGAATTAATCGAAGCTTTGTAATCCACAAGAGAGATTTTTCGGGATATTTTCGGATTTTTTCCTTTCGCAGGACCGGCTTTAATGTCGATACATCAAACAATAAATTCATATTTGGGTAATCCATGCCAATAGTCAGGGGGATATAATCTATTCAACTGATAAATTTATTAATAAAGGAGTTTTGTGTTACCATGAATAACGAAAGTTTCTATAAAGCTGGAAAGTATGTACTAATTATTGCTAACAGCTTAACAAAAGGCATAATTTTCTATAAATAACTGTATCGAAATATCTTTAAAAAAATTCAGTCAGAGTCTGTCGGCGGAAAACTCGTGGGGATTCCCGCTCTATCGATTCGCCGATTTTTCATCTATTCCCAAGGAGAGACAGTCCGTAAAATTCCCCCCAATTGAACGCGACTTTCCAAGTTTGTTTTTCCTCTAATCCGGCGAAACTCGGCCGATTCGAGATTAGCGAAAAACCCCGAGACGATTTTAAATAATTAACTCGGCGTCTCTCCACTATCGATCCGGTATAAATTAAATTTTCTCTCGTTGTGCGCGTTTTGTTTGGGAACAAGGAAAATTTAGAAATTACATTCGCGATTGTTTATTTTATTTTGCACCTGGTGCTCGTCGTTGCTCGGTACAAACTACGTAAGCTGTTAATATAATACATATTTTGAGCACCCCTTGTATTCCTTGTATTAGTCCGGTGGCGCTGTAATTTGAAAGGCCATTAATTAACTATAGTGTGGCGACACCGGCGATAAATTGTATTTATGAGGTAATTGTTTATGAGTAAATTCCTTAATTCCTTCGCACATGGTTCGAAAGGATATCCATGTTAGTTATTCTACTAAATTGCATAACTTTAGGAATGTACCAGCCTTGTTTAGATAAAGATCCTTGTACTACAAATAGATGTCAAATATTACAAGTAAGTTTTCTTTTTCTCCGTACACAAAGCGTCCGTTGTGAAAGATCCGTCCGATTGTATTTTCGTGATTTTTCCAGAGATTTGACGAATTTATATTCGCCTTCTTTTCCCTCGAAATGACAATCAAAATGATCGCCATGGGTATACACGGTCGCGGTTCGTATTTGGCCGACTCCTGGAATCGACTCGATTTGTTCATAGTGATCGCCGGAGCGGTCGAATACAGCCTGCCCAATTTCAATAACATCAACCTGTCGGCGGTCCGAACGATCAGGGTATTGAGGCCTTTGCGAGCTATCAATAGAATACCGAGTAAGTATTACAAATTTAGACGTTTTTTATGACGGTCTATTCGAAATTTACTAGCACAAGTCGATCAAATTATGTTAATGTAAATGGTTAAATACGACCGATTTGGATGTTTTTTTCTGATAGGATGGTTACCTACGTGGAGCTTTTAAATTATACTAGGTGTGTCCAGAAAGTAAAGTTCTGTCTCAACTTCTGCCTGTTATCTATGTTTCTACACAATTCCACTAATTTTGGGGATTTTTCATAGCCTGGCACCGCACTATTTTTTTCGAAATTCAATTTTCAGTAACAATTTCACGAACTATATAGTTATAGCAATAAGTACTTGAGAGATTTGCGGAAATTCCACAGCAAGATCATGCATTGTAAAACAGTTTTCTTTACTACTTCTGGACACACCTATTAGTATAACGAAGAATAAAACAGAAAGGCAAAACCGTTCAGATATGTGTATTAGATCAATAAACCAAACATTATAATGTGTTTATATGTACTAATTAAACGACGGAATGGCTCTTATTCCACGTCGAAATGGTAAATTGCCGACATTATTATCGGAACGACAATCACTAGACATCTCTCGAATCGAAACGTGTTTGATGAACGACGTATTCACGTTATATGTCAGTCATTGTTTGGGATACAAAAGGAAAGCTACATCAATATACTCGCACCAGATAAACAATTGTGTGTCCCCTAACACAAATTTCAAGCATCATAGTGGACATTCACCAAAATCAATGGGGACCAAATTGTTTATGGTCAAGATGTAGATAGACAATAATTCTGCTATTTCCTATAGTCTATTGAATTGAAGAGTTGAGTTTACTTCATAAGTCTTATGAATAGACCAATTTAATAGTTAAAGTTGTGTTAAAATTGAGTTTGTTTTAGGCATGCGAATATTGGTCATGTTGCTTTTGGACACTTTACCAATGTTGGGAAACGTCCTGTTGTTGTGCTTCTTCGTATTTTTTATCTTCGGCATTATCGGCGTGCAATTGTGGCAGGGCGTGTTGAGGCAGCGCTGCGTCCTCAATCGCGAACAATATCCAACCGTCGTTTTTCCCAAGTAAGTTAGAGAATCCCCCATTGTTGTTTGTACATTTTACGGACGAAATCCCGGTATTTTTTGTTATACTTTAACGACCCAAAACGAAATCCCTTTCGGCAATTTATCTGATTTATCCGAATATGGGATTCTCCGGTTACCTACCCATCGGGATATGCGAGTAAATAACTTTTATTGTATCGTTCAGAAACGATCTATTTAGATTTACGGCTGAAAGGAACGAGGAAAACTCGACCGCGAAAAAGTCGAGAACACAAATTTTTCTCGTTAATGGACTTAGAACCGGCATTGTTAAAGGTCGCATTGACGATGCTTACGGTCTTGACCTGGAAACAAAAAGAAAGAAGAAAAAGAAGAAGTTTAGTACACAATACGCCCTTAATGGGCGAATAAACACAAAAAAGGGAACGTCGAAAGGGAGGCATCGATCAAAAACAGTCTACCCGTAAACGATCGTACTGGAAAAGAAACACCGGAATAAAAAAAAGGAAATTTATCAACCATCATTCATAAATATACAAACGTTTGGCAAATCCATACAGAGTGGCAAGCCGAAAATTATTATTATTTGACTAATTTCGAAAGCGAGCTTTCGCTAAACTTCCCAGTTGATCGTATCTAAAGGGAATTACGTAAGATGTCTTACTAGATCCTTACGCCATTAAAATATTTAGGGCGAATCGTACCCCGATTACAGACTAATGTGGCGCAGCCGGATATTCAAACTAAATCTACCAGCATTAAGCTTTCATGCTCAGCACATATCAAATTATTTACTGCGTTTCCCTCGCTAATCATTACTCGATCCTCGATTATAATAGGTATAATGCCGAAACTTGTTCCAGGGAAATAATCCAGGGATACCTCTACAAACCGACGGACTTGGATTTCATTTGCAGCAAAAATGCCAACTCCGGCATGCACTTTTGCACGGATTTACCGCCCTACAAGAACGGCACGCGAAAATGCCATCTCACTTACGAGGAAAAGATGTTGCCCGAATTCAAGTATAACGACAGTCACTGCGTCAATTGGAATCTGTACTTTACTCTTTGCTCGGACAAGAATCAGAATCCTTTCCAAGATACGATTTCGTTTGATAATATAGGATTAGCTTGGATCGCCATATTCGTTGTAAGTATAAAACAATTTTTCTACTCAATTAATAATACTTGTGAGGGCATATTTTTTTTGTAATAAATTAGAAATTTCTAATCACTTAAATGATATTTTGGTAAATAATAATGGTAAATATGTTTTCGACAGTCAAGAAATCAATAAAAGAAATATAAATTAATCAATAAATGTACCTAACATGTTTGAAAAGCGACAGCTCGTTAAGTAAAACCTAAATTTAATATTTAATGGTGTGTCAAAAGAATTATGAAATAGCGAATATTTTACTATTGTAGGTAATATCGTTAGAAGGTTGGACGGAAATTATGTACTACATTCAGGACGGGCACAGTTTCTGGGATTGGATATATTTCGTTCTTCTTATAGTAGTAAGTAGAAAATACACCACCAACCCTTTGATTTTTTTATCAATTAAAATAAGCTATATCTTGACAGTCCCTTCAATCTAGCAAACGCTAATTGGCCTACTTTTCCAGATAGGCTCCTTCTTCATGATCAATTTGTGCCTAGTCGTTATAGCGACGCAATTCTCCGAGACGAAAAAACGCGAAATGGAGCGCATGCGGCTGGAGCGCGCCCGATTCCAGAGCAGCAGCACCCTGGCCTCTTCCACCAACAACAGCGAGCCCACCAGCTGCTACGCGGAAATCATCAAGTACATAGCGCACTTATGGCGCCGGGCCAAGCGAAAGGTCACCAAGAAGATCAGGTTCTTGCGGGCGAGAAGGGACAGGCGCAGGGACAGGATGATATCGGCCGATACCATTCGATTGAACTACGCCAAAAGGCACCATCCCAGTTGCATCAGAATGCTGTTGTTATCCGTAAGAGTTTGTGGTTTTTTTTAAACAATTCGATTGGTATGCGGATTTTTTATTGTAGTCTCAGTCTCATAGCGCACCTAGTACTAGAGCTGTGTCCAGGACGAGTTCTATGGTTAGTGAAACTAATTCCAAAAATCAGGATACATTAGAAGCAGCTGCTACGAAGCGACCTTCTCTACTTAAAGTACAAACGCTGTTTAATCAAAATCCTACTAACAATAACGAAGTTAGTAAAATTTTCATAGTTCTTAAAACTTTAAACTACGTTCGTTAACTGTAAAGCTTTTTAATGAACCAAGTGTAGTGTAAAACTTTAATGATTTATTCCAGAATTCAGCAAATTTGCTTTCTCCTCCTTACGTTTTGAACAACAGACGGCGCTCATCTGTTATGTTCAGTGACATAATCATCTTGCATGGCCAGAACAATACCGCTTCGGCTCATAAGAAAAACGTCTGTTCCAGTGAAAAAACTACTCAAGCAGGTAAGATTTACTACCAACCCATCTTAAGCACTTTCTTTATGTCTTCTACATTAATTTCAAACAGGCGATGGCAATATCTGGCAAATAACGGAGGCTTCGAATCAGCAAATCCAGCAGGATTGCGAGAACATAGCCAACGGTGAAACGTTAACGTGCCAGGAATTATTGGCCTTGGGGGCGATAAACGCCGCCCTTTCGACGGGTCAAATCCTGCTAGACGCGTTCCTGAATTCGCTCTCGAAAGGCGTGCGAGCTGAACCGGAAAACGACTATCAGCGACAACCGCCCGACGACGATTTCTCCTGTTGTCAGGACCTGTGGCACTGCGAGTCCGAGTACAAGAACGAGAAGCGATCGAAATTGTACGTGTGCTTCTGCCTGGCCGTGAAGGGCACCCTCAACGCCTTCAAAGTGCTGAGGAAGAAGATCAAAATCGTCGCCGAACATAAACTGTTTCAACACGGAATTTTACTGGCGATATTGATCAATACGCTGTCGATGGGCATCGAGCACCACGATCAATCCGAATTGTTGACCCACGGTGTGGAAGTTACTAATGTCATATTTTCGGCTGTATTCGCCGTGGAAATGGTGCTGAAAATCATAGCAGAAGGACCTTTTGGGTACATCTCCAACGGTTTCAATGTATTCGACGGGATTATCGTCGTATTGAGGTAAGATTCTCTAGCTTTCTCAAATGGCTTAGAAATGTGAGGAATGACTGAATTTAGAGGAAAAAATTTGGGGTTGTAATACATGTTTCCAGCGGAGTTGTTAAATGGAAATTTCAATTTCGCAAATCCGAAACGATCCGTTTCCTGCGCCATTAATTTGCATGTTAAACACGTTTCTGTGTCGCCCGCACGGAAAGAGGGGTTATGGTTCGATGATAATCTAATAATATATCGAGTTACCGTGCGAACTAATTTATTTACTTATCAACGAAACCGCGCTCGCGTTCTCGCGGTTGGTCGAGATAAATGCTAATTTTCGTTCGAGGAAACTTTTTAATTAATCGAGTTTTGATGTTAAGGTCGGTAATGCTTTTTCTCTGTTAAAGGTCGGCCGGGGAATAAGGGAAATGTAATTAGGGTGGATAATTAGTTCTAAGCGAGGGAAATTTTTTGTGGTGCAATTTTGTACCAGTTAAGAGTAGATCATTTTTTAATGAATTTTCAGAACCGTAAATAATTTTCAACAGATTTTTCTATATCAATTACGCAGTTTTTCAACCCATCAGCTACTACGCTCTGATTTTAATTAATTACAATACCTAATACCTTGAATTAGAACATTTAATGAATAGCGATGCTTTTCGTGGGGTTTATTTTGAATAATGCAAAGTCAGCAAAGTAGGAGAACCTATTAATTTTATTTTTTCAGCGCAATAGAGTTGTTCAGGAACTTCAACAGCCACCAACACACCGACTCCGGGCTGTCGGTGTTGCGGACTTTCCGCCTGTTGAGGATTTTGAAATTGGTGCGCTTCATGCCGAATTTGCGCCGGCAGTTGTTCGTCATGCTCAGGACGATGGACAACGTGGCCATATTTTTTTCTTTATTAATTCTGTTCATATTCATCTTCAGGTAAGAGAACCACCGTCGGGATGGGATCCGTTCGCGGTGGTTGTTGTGTGTTTAGTATTACTAATATGGAAAAAGTATGATACACGGCGAAACAATTTTTATATTGGTCAAAATATTGAAGTCTTAAAGTGGTTTTGTATAGTGGTATATATTCTTAATGCAATTTTTGCGTCGCCATGTAATATTTTTTAAATGAACTTTGTGCTTTTTAGATGCAAATAAATTCGACTTTTTTTTAGATCAATATACACATAACAAAGTAAACTATATAAAAGTATATTTTTAATATTTTTTAATTGTTGTATAAGATCTAATAAAAAGCAGGATTTGGGATATTCTCATCACACTCACGTAAAATTTCCGCGAGTTTTTCTTGATTTTTTTTAATCACAAAGTTTGTTTAACTTTTGTCTTGCAACTATCTGATTCTCGACTAATTTATTTCTCAATAATCGTCCGTTTGAGTTTGTCGATAGCTCAAAACGGACGGTTTATTGAACTGTACTAGAATTTTCACCACTTTCTGTAAATAAAATCTATTTCTCTCGATGTACAATGCCCGAAAGTGTAAAAAATAATTCATTTCGCTTTCTTTCTATAGATGGCTTTTTTTTGAATTACCACCCGTATGCTTAGGTGCTTGTGCATCCAGAAATTACAGGTGAAACGATGCTGTTTTAAACAATTACAATTTTTTTAATTCCTTCCCAAAAAATTGTACAACTATAATAAGAACAAACTCTTTCTCTATAAGAATGAGGCATTATCAGCTTAAGTTAAATTACACAGGGTGTTTCTTAATGAGAAGCATACTAGTTTTCTGATCAATTTGATAGATAGCATAAGATTCTTATTAGGAAACCCCTCGTTTAAGATTCGAATGTAATTTGAAATTGTGCGATGTTTTTAGTATCCTCGGTATGAATATATTCGGTTGCAAGTTTTGCAGCAACTATTCCCAAGCGAATGAAAATGTTTGCGAAACGAATAAAGATGAGGATAAAGATAGGAAAAATTTCGATTCGCTTTTATGGTCGCTCGTTACCGTATTTCAGGTATTTTTTTTGGTTTTATTTTCCCTATTTTTTATGTTTTTTCGCTATCTTCTTCGTTTACTTTTGCGCTTTCGATTTTTAAGGTAATTACAAAAAGAACTACTGATAGTTGAGGCACTCATTTTGATCTTCAACTTTTTGTATTTACTTTACCTCTAAAATTTAAAAAATAAATTTCTTTTTATATTTGTAATAATATCGTGTAACAATATATTTTTTAGTAATTCTCTATATACGTTGGTTTTATAAAACAAGGCTAAACTGTTAGAAGTAAAAAAATATAATATTTTAAATGGAACGATTCAATATATTTTAGCCGATTGTTGGTAATAAATATGTAGGTAATTTGTTTTAAATAATAATGAATACGAAGACAATTTACACGAAAAACAAGTTAAAACTTTCCTTTATTGTTTCAACCCTCCCTTTCACAGATTCTTCAGATGTTTTGATAACAAGAAATAGAAAAATCTAGGTTCTAATTTTGTTATATAAGTAATTATCTTGTTATCTGAACATACTCAAAATTACAAAAGCTTCATATCTTCTACATTATTTAAACTTTTTATAATACAAATTAATGTTTGTTTGGTAAAGTATAGGCAGACTTTGACTCTATTTTATTAATTCATTTTGTGTTATTCAAATTTCTACTTTTTCTTTGCGAATTCTTCAATTATCTGAGTAAATTTAATTTGATTTATTTCAACAACTTTTCTACAAAATCTCCTCCGAGCAATCCTAATGAAATCATAAAACTGTCGCAAAATGCCTCGCTTGTGCTCTCACCAGAGCGCCAGCTATGATAGGTAATTATGTAATTAATTCAAAGTTTTTTAAGCAAAGTATCCTTCTCTCTAATAAGACTGGATAAAACTTTCAAAAGTAGATGTAATTTAGGTTGGAAATTTAATTTAATTTCTAGTTTTCAGGGTGGATTTATCAATGTAAAAATACAGGGTGTTCTCGAACTTATGGAACTAAATACTAGGGGTGGTAGTATGCATAATTTTAGACCGAATCGCAGATTTAATTTTTCTAAAAAAAATATAATAAACAAAATTTGATATATTAAAAATATTTCAAATAAATGCGGTCCTGTACACCGGTTGAAACCCTTCGACCCCTCTATTTTTTTAGAATCATAGATAAATTATAAAAGTAAACGAGGATTTTCAAACAATAGAAGGAAATAAACTCAAAAGGAATATTAGCTCACCTATTTTGTTGTTGAAAGCTGCTTAATTGTTCCAGAACATCACTATAACGAACAAGAACTAACTAAACTAAGAAGAACACTATAAAAGAATTAACTGAACTGAGAACACTAAGAACTAAAACAATCAAATAAATCACTAAAGTCTAATTACAAAAATCTATTTTACCGCGATGCTATAATCAAAACAATATAATTCGCACTGGAAAACGATCGGTATCGATAACGTTTTTCTAAAGCTGGAGGGCGGAGGGGGAAATTAGCGCTTGCTGATAAAATACGCTGAATCTGTTTTTTGAGTTAAAATTCCGATCAGCTGACTATTCAGGCCAGAGTTGTATTCGCTCTTTGCATTTATTTCTAATGGCTCTATTCTGTTTATTATATTTTTTTAGAATAATGAAATCTGCGAATCGGTCTCACATTATGCAAACTATCGCCTCTAGAATTTAGTGCCATAAGTTCGAGAACACCCTGTATATCTTCCAAATAATTACTTTATATGAGCATTGATCAACCTGCTAAAGCAGTGAGTGAGCAACTGCAATACTTTACTTAAAATAATGAAGACAATTAACGTTATCACTTCTGTTATTTCTGTTTTGTGTTGTTGGTTTCGTAGTTTTATTTTTATTTTTGGTTTTGACAAAATAACAACCGATTAATCAATAAAAACCTAACACAGATCCATTCGATATCTCGACCATTCTCTCACAAAGCACTTAGAGCATTAAGGTATGGTAAAACGCTTCGGTACTCTTACTATACTTACTCATTTCATGTTTCCAACTTACTCAACTTCCACTCGAACTATTTACCTACGAATTCTGTTCATACTATGGCGCCTGCGCGTGTTCGTGTTGTAGATGGTGTTGCACTATAGCTTATTTTTAGGTAATTAAACGAAAGTTGATTTTGTGAAACATTAGCACACGTGACTAACACTTGTATACATACAATTTTCCCCCATAGCATACTGGGCATGTATCTCTTTGGCGGTAAGTTTTGCACCTACATTGACGAAAACGGCTCGACCAGGGATTGCGGTTGCGACATGATGGACGATGTGAGGTGTCACTGCGACAGGAAACACTTCAACAACATCCTTTGGGCCACTGTCACCGTCTTTCAAGTGAGACAAAATATCTGTTCAATTTCTTTACGTTAAACCCTTAGCGCACCTAATGTGTCTAATGAGAATTATCATTCAATATCTTATTTTATCTAATGCCTAAGTAACCTAAGCTAGGTTTTTAAATATTGATTGTTCAGTTGATGTTTAAGGAGCAACACAGGAGTTAGCTATAAAGGTTGGATCTTTCTTTAAAATTGACTAAATTCTTCGAAATTATCATCAAGAGTTAAGGATTAATGTTTTAGAAATTGAGATAAAGGCTTTTACTTTTCATTTGCTAATGAAGGAAAATAAGCAAAATATTATAGAGCTTTAAATGTATAGACAGAAAATCTGTTAAGCACATCTGGGTTGGCTAAGTAGTTAAAAATTTAAACTAACGAAATATTGTTCATTTCAACGTTAAATTGTTCCATTTAAAATATTTTAAACTCTAATCGAAATAGATTCGGGTATGCAGCTATATAATACGCCAATTCAAACTTAACCCTCCTCCCGAAACGACAACAAATAAACAATAAAATCGTCGATTTCGTTCTTGCGTTTTTGTAGATATTAACCCAAGAAGATTGGAACATAGTGTTGTCCAACGGCATGGCGAAGACCTCCAATTGGGCCGCCCTTTATTTCGTCGCTTTAATGACCTTCGGTAATTACGTGCTGTTCAATTTGCTGGTGGCCATTCTGGTGGAGGGATTCAGCTCGGAGCGCAACGAGCGCAGGGAAAGAGAGCAAAGGGAATTGGCCAGAAGGAAGATGTCTTGCATTATTGAGGCGAGCATCCGGAACAGGGGCAACGGCAGCTCCGAGTCCAGTTCCACCACGGAGAATTGCTGTCATGTAATTGCTCAATTTATTGCTTATTAGGGTTAAGGCCAAATACAATCATATGTATTCAACGCTAATTAGCGTTTAAAAGTTAACGACGAGTGTTTCCCTCGACAGTTTTACGTTAAAGAGACTCTTTAAACTGTTGATTAGAGTTAAAAAGGAGTGCTTAAATTCGATATTATAAATTACGAATACAATATTTAACAATTATTTATGTTTTAGGAGAATAAAACTTGTTGGAAAAATTGCGAATTGCGAAAATTACGATGCATTAACGAACAAGTATCATCGATAACCCTTTCAGTCTCCGATTTTAGGGACAAATACTCAAACAGTTGTTACGTTTGTAAAGACACAAAGTCTAATGTTGAAAAAGAAGCATTATCTAAACAGGTATACGCTATATCGCATGAAAAACTTCAACTTACTAGCAAATAATTCTCCATTTTCAGTCATCTCCGCCGATTATTACGCACACGGCGGCAACTCCGCAGGATTCTCCCAACACGATCATCCGGGATTTCCCGGAGTTTCGTTACAGCGTCACTTCTGTATCGAACACAGCTCTCAATACCGATGATTCGAATTACGATATACTCTCCCAAAACGCACCGGTAAATTATTTTTTACGAATTCACCAATTTCAGCCGAGCTTTACAACTTAAGCCTAATTTATCGTCTGTATTTGAAATATGAATGGACTGTAGTTAAATCTAGAGAATAATATTTCACCTTACAAAGCGCAAATCGAATCAAAATTAACATTTTCTTGCATAAATTTCTTTGTAGAATACCAATTTGCTGGTGCCGCCTCGGCTGTCGCCGCCCCCGCTCACCTACCGCCATTCGATGAAGCAACAACGAACCGCCGACGATTCGAACAAAACATGCAAATTGATAACTCACAACGAGAAAATAGGCGCTAACACCATCGCTTATTCGGAGAAGAACGTGCCCAGTGCCAAATCGGGCTCCAAATCGAGCTTGAAACGACCCAAAGGAGCGCCGCTGAACAACGGAAGGGATCACAGGCACTGCAACGGCGGCGGGGGAGTCAACCGACACGTGAGTCTAACACATTACCTTTTTTACGACCGGATTGTTCCGTATAAATAAGCTGTAAAACCTTTTTTTTGGATGCCTTTTAGGTGGCGATTCCGTCGCATTTGAAGCGGCAGAACTCGCTGAAGAAGTCGAACAACAAGAATCGAATATCTAATTACAGTCCGACCAAGCAGAAACTCATCGGGAAATCGACGGAGAGCATCCTGAATCACATCAGACTGGATAAGGATATAAAGCGGAGTATTTTCAACAAGTTGGAGACGTTTTTGGAATCGACCAGTTGCTTGAAAGATAGAGAGGAATATTCCTTGTACATTTTCTCCCCGGAAAATAAGTAATTACGATAAATGGAGTCGTGTGATGAATATTACTAGAATAATTTTTTAGATTCAGAAAATACTGTTGTTGGATAGTGAAGCAAAACGGATTCGATAACGTTATATTGATATTCATCGCATTGAATTGCATTACATTGGCGATGGAAAGGCCGAACATACCGCCGGATAGTCCCGAGAAATTGTTCCTGCAATCGTGCAACTACGTGTTTTCGATCGTGTTCGCTACCGAGATGTTCGTTAAGGTAATATATTGTTCGATTAACATATTAGGCGCCTAATTAATTTTAATGTAGGTGGTGGATAGCGGTTTGTGTTACGGCCCGAATGCCTATTTTACATCCGGTTGGAACATAATGGATGGATCTTTGGTGATAATTTCGGTGGTTGATATAATTATGTTTCTAATAAACGACACCACATCGAGAATATTCGGCATATTAAGGGTATTTCGTTTGTTGAGATCGCTTAGACCTCTGAGAGTGATCAACAGAGCTCCTGGTTTGAAATTAGTCGTACAAACGTTGCTCTCTTCGTTGAGACCGATTGGAAATATCGTTTTGATTTGTTGCACGTTTTTTATCATATTCGGTATATTGGGAGTACAAGTAAGCGCATTCTTAAATTCTCGATTCTAATCTCAATTACCAATCAATTCTTCCAGTTATTCAAGGGTACGTTTTTTTATTGCACCGGAGAAAATCTAACTGGTATCGAAACGAGGCAAGATTGCGAAGCTCGAGGAGTGGGTTACCAGTGGAAAAACCAAAAATATAATTTTGACGATTTAGTGCAGGCTTTGATGTCGCTGTTCGTTCTGAGTTCGAGAGACGGCTGGGTGAACATCATGTACACCGGCTTGGATGCCGTCGGTGTCGATAAACAGGTGGGATCTCATCTCTTAATCAACCTGGGATATTTTTTTAAACGACTTGCTTTGAAATTCTAGCCTAAAGTCAATTACTCCGAGTGGCGACTTCTTTATTTCATATCGTTCATCCTGTTAGTTGGATTCTTCGTGCTCAACATGTTCGTTGGAGTGGTGGTAGAAAATTTCCACAGATGTAGGGAGGAGCAGGAGAAGGAAGAGAAAATAAGAAAGGCCGCTAAAAGGCAATTGCAATTAGAAAAAAGACGGAGAAGTAAGTCCTACAACTATACTATAGTTACATTTTATTGTTAATTTAATTTTCAGAAATGAATGAACTTCCTTACTACATAGACTACGCTCCTTGGCGGCTAGACATTCACAAAATAGTGACGTCTAAATACTTCGACTTAGCAATAGCTCTTGTGATAGGTTTGAACGTGATAACGATGGCCACGGAGTGCTATCAAATGCCCAATTATTGGGAGTACGCCCTTCGCATTTTCAATTACTTCTTCACTGCTGTGTTCATACTCGAAAGTACGATGAAACTGATCGCGTTGGGCGTCAAGATGTATATCAAGGATAGATGGAATCTACTCGACGTAGCCATAGTACTACTATCCGTAGTTGGAATTGTTATAGAAGAAATCGTTCAAGATTTGAAAATTATACCTATCAATCCTACTATTATTAGAGTGAGTTGTAATTTTGTTTTTTTTTTGCTTTGATTTATCGTAATTATTCGTAGGTTTTGAGAGTAATGCGAATAGCAAGAGTGCTCAAATTGCTTAAAATGGCCAAAGGCATTAGAGCTCTATTAGACACTGTAATGCAGGCGCTGCCGCAAGTCGGCAATCTCGGCCTATTGTTCTTTTTGTTGTTTTTTATATTCGCTGCCCTGGGAGTCGAACTCTTCGGCAGATTGGATTGCAACGCAATTCATTGTCAAGGTAAATGCTTCATTTCTATCTTCAATTTTATGTTTCCTATTATCTAACTTTCATTGCGACAACGATTTCTAATAGGTTTAGGGGAGCACGCACATTTTCAAAACTTCGGCATGGCATTTCTGACATTATTCCGGGTAGCGACCGGCGACAACTGGAACGGCATAATGAAAGATACTTTGGAGAGCGAGGATTGCGATCAACTGGCGGATTGTATAACCAATTGCTGTATATCGCCCATCATAGCGCCGATATTCTTCGTCGTGTTCGTGCTTATGGCGCAGTTCGTGCTGGTGAACGTCGTCGTGGCGGTAAATTGCACATCGCATCGCCATTCACGAACGTCTGTTTAACACAAATTGTTTGTAGGTGTTGATGAAGCATTTGGAGGAATCCCACAAGCAGCTCGAGGACGAGCACGATTTAGAGATTCAACTCGAACAAGAGTTCGCCGAGAAGCAACAGCGCAGCGAAAGGGAGCTCTATTTAGCGTTACAACTCGATCAGGAGTGCCAAAATCAAAAAGAAAAAAAGAGATTAACTAGAGTGAGTGTACACTTATCAAAGTGCTATCTAAATAAAAACAATACCGTTTCAGGTTCTGTCACTGCCTTCGAATTTCGTTTACAATCCTTCGGGGACGAGCTCAGTGGCCAAGCAAGAGCCTTCGCCGGCTCTAAACACGGATCTGCAACGCCACCAGTCGATAAAGCGGTTGAGTCCGAAGCATTTCAGAAACATGAAGGGTTCGAGTACGAACTTGACCGTCGAGACGGATTTGAACGCCCCGTCGAAATGCCCGACTAACGATTCGTTCTTGGCAGTACCGCAGGAAATGAAGCCGTTGAGGGCGTCGGGCAGCTGCAAGAATTTATTTCAAAGACAATCATCGACAGAGGAAGTAGAAGAGTCTTCGTTTCTTTTGAACGTACCGACAGGCGGAGGATCTGAGGGTTTTTGGTACGGGAATGGCGAGAACAAGGCGGACGAAAGAGACGAAAACGTTACCGTAGACATAGATGATACAGATACAAGTTCAAACAAGGTCGATCTTATCTTGTAGGATCTATTTTTATATCTCTATACATTGTAAGTAGTTAAGGAAAAACTTGTTAGAACATATTACTTTTCATAAATCTCTATTAAAAATATTTAGTACTGAACTGTTGATGGTTTAATTCATTCCTTAGTAGTTGTTCATTCTGTGACTTTTAGGATATTCTACCTATCTTCGTAAATAGTTTTAACAACACTGTTGGCCTACATCAAAGACCTACTAACTAACTGATTAATAAGTCTATGGCTTGCATAAATTTTAAGATCACGTGGGATTCATTATTTTCTGAAGGCACTATGATCAAGTTGTAAAATGAATTGTTGTTTTAATTGACAAGTTCTTCTGTCCGTTGTTTTGTATGTTGCATACGTAGTAGTGAATAAAATTGGTTTGAAATTAAGTACCTGAGTATTCGTAATGTCACAGGCCTCATATAATCAATTCTAACTGTCAAAATTTTAGTAAGAAGATAATTTAAGGTTAAAACTAAATGTTGCATTATAAATATAACATATTTTTAACATTTATGAAATACAACAATATGCTCACTTGTAAAAATATGCTTAAGTGATGCATGAATTTTTATTACACAAATTGCAATAAAATTTTAAATTTATATTCAACACATTATGGTAATAATAATAACCAAACAAAATGATCAACACAGATGATTGCTTCTCTGATTTGGCATCTATACACGCCGATCCACCTTTAATGCGAGACATTTGTTCAAAATGCCAGTGAGTAAACCATTAAAAACACGTTTTCTAATTCTATTAACATAAAAAATATTTTTTAGTCGACCGTGTACAGTATGCTACTGCAGTTGGTTACCAGTACCACCAATGTCTCCTAAAAGCAGAATAATCCTTCTGCAGCATCCCGCCGAAGAAAAAAGGTGCCTTAGAACTGCCACTATGCTACAATTAGGTTTAGAACCATCGAAGTGCTTGGTATTCAAAGGAAAACGATTCCCCGGAAAGTACACTGTACTCGAAGACCTTCTAAATGCTCCAAACACGATTCTCTTATACCCAAGTGGTAAATCGGTCGAAGTACAGAGAGTACAAGAAACTAATTCTTATGAATCATATAATATTGTGATATTAGATGGAACATGGCCTCAAGCTAAAGCTATTTACACGGGAAGTCCCATTTTGCACAACTTGAAGCAAGTCAAGTTGCTCGATCACGATATTAGTAGTTATATTATAAGAACACAGCCTACTGACGGCTGTCTTAGCACAATAGAAACGGCTGCATTGGCGTTGGACTCGTTAGAAAACGATACTAGGTACAAAGAACTCTTACTAGCACCGCTCAAAGCTATGTGCGAATTTCAATTGAAAAACGGAGCCGTATCGCATCAAAGCAAGGAGTTCAGGATAAAAAACAACACTTATCCCAAATTGATCGGCAAACGATTGAACAAAATACTTCAAGAAGCAGATAGATTTAAGAATGCAGATAATGTAGAGTAGATAGAATAAATTGCAAATTTATAACAAATATATAGATTACACAAATATTTTCTTGTAATTCGTTTGTTTTGACTTAAATGCATTTTTCAATGCAGCCTGCGCCTTTATTATCCTGTGGATATCTTCGTGTATATTATGCAGAAAAATAAGACAATCATCTGGATGAGTCCCTGCCCAAATATGTAGTTTCTTGTAATTTGCTTTTTTTATTAAAATGTATTTTTCAATGCAATCGTACCTTAATCGAAAATCAAATTTTGGACAGTGTCTTTTGGGTACTTCAGTAGAATAATTATCTTGTAAGACCTTTTGTATTTTATGAGGAAAAATAAGATAATTTTTTGAATCCATCCCTGCCCTTTTGGCTCGACGATCGATGAGAATTGCGACGTCGCAAAACTTGAAATTCTCCCTCACCCGACGACACAGCATCCCTTACTGAAATTTACCGATGAGACTAAACGCCCGTTTAAACAAAAACCTCTTAAACTACCTTTCTTATAAGTTAATAATAACATAGTTCTGAACTAAGCAAAAGAATATTAAGTGATGAAGACCTTTAGGAAAACAATTCTCTCACAGTTCTCGTTCATAAACTGTAAGTATTTATAATGAGTTTAATTGATAATAAGGGTGTGCATGAAAACAAACTGTGTCTACCACGAACCGTTTTCGTTTTCCAGTTTTCAGATTACATATGACTTCCACTAAGAAAGGGGCGCAAAACAACGCCTATTTCTTTCCACTCGTTTGCGAACAATAGTGTGTACTGGTGCATTGAAAAGAAATTCTTCGGCGCGTAAAGTTCTAGATGAGAGCTGAACAAAAAAAAGGGCTGCGATGACCAGATTCGTGTGTTTGGAGTCCACTCCCAGAATTGCATTCGTTATTGCACAGCCGAAACGTAAGTACTCGACCGTAAAAGACACAGGCGTAGATATCGAGGAAATATAACGAATTTCCATAGGTATTTGAGGATAACGTAGTAGGTGAAATTTGAGGATTATATATTGTGTTTTTAGAGAGTAATTGGCGTAAGATTAGAAGGATAATTATACATAACAGATTAAAAAATCATTGTTCGGAATTACTACTAGTTATAGAGACGAAATTTTGAACATTAGTACAAATAAGAAATGGTGCATTTGTTGCTGCTTGCATCTATTCATATTTCGGAACGCTCTATCAGGCCTATTCGGTTCGTTGCCGATGGTTTTGAGACGCCGAAAACGCGATTCATGGGGGGCCCCGGCCGAAGAGCAACCCCACCCCGCCACGACAACCGGGAGGCAGCGATCTAGCTTAGCGTTCGAGGTCTTCGGTCCTTGCCCGGCCGTTGACACCGTCAAATTTCGAAATCGTGAAGTCTGTGGTTCCTTCTCCTTCGGTTACACGCTGGCTTACCGGGGTACCAAGGGCCGCTGATCGTATTGCGATCGTTACATTGGAAATTGTTTTCTACTTTCACGTAGGTTGATGAGCTGCAGGTAATTTGTGGCTGACCAAAAATTTGCCAAATTATTGTACAAGATGTTGAGAGTCATGATCATTTTTATTTAAACCAAAATCATTGAGCTTAACCAACAATTACCGACTGAATTTTTAAGATTTTGTTCATAAATTAAGCTCAATTATAACTAGCTTCAAATTAGATTCAATCATGTAAACAAAATTATTAACTATTAATTTAATTGTTGATAACAAAACAAAAACTTATAGCTTGCCTTCTTTAATACCTACGAGAAACAATATTTTGTCAAATTGTACAATTGTCTACCTAATTACAAGGTTAAGTATTCCTTTTGGTAATTTGCTTTCAAACGGCCTAGAGTCGTTCGTTAATTGTCCGTGCTCAATCGGCCTCTATTCCGAGTAAAAATTAAAATTATTGTCGAATGTTCTAAATATGAAACTGGATTTTTCGGCCTTGACTTACTATGCCGGCAGTTTAAAGAATTACGTGCGAAATAAGCGGGCATAAACGAATGGATGGAAAAATACGAAATTAATAAGTATGTATATATACTTGCATCAATTATTCCAGTTTTAATGCCTAAGCTCTTTTTTGCAGACGGTTAATTAAGACATTTCATATCTACCCAGTCGTGCATTGAAAAAGATTTTTGGAAGTAAATTATTTTTGGTGGGTTTCTTTCATTAGTAATCATTTAAATCTCCATTTTCTGTGGGTTAATTTCAGTTTCAACCATTGATGTCACCAAAAAATTAAGTGGGATTTTTTGTGGGTTTTCTATCATATATAAATCCAATGTTTTAGATGGACCATCACATTTTTATGCACTGTATGAAAAAATTCTTCGATTCTCCTGCCACATGAATTAATTTAGAGTAGAAATTTTGTATCGAGTAGACGGCAGTAAATAAGTAATTGAAAAAAACAAAAAAAAGCACGTTTTAATGGCAACGCTACTTTCTCTCTCCCGGTATAACTAATCGGTTGGAGTTCGGATGGATAGTCGAACGTCTGAACCCCAAAAAGAGCAATGCTTCGAATTGAGGTCACCAAATGCACCAACAAGGCCGCATTATTTTAGCAACGAGCGCATTTTTCGATGCATTTTTCAAGTAATAACGCAAACAGTTTGTGTTGCTCTCATAGTAGGGTCGACAGGCGCAATAAACTATTCTTTTTAACTAAAACTAAGCAAAAAAACACTTTTTAAAGGCCACTATACAAAATTGGTGAAATAAGAGAAAAATTAATGAAACATTAAGGAAGGTAATTTCGAAGCGCCGAGGGATGTTTATACATATCGATTATAGAGAGTGTTTCAAAACTTAATGAAATTACTTGATTGACTTATTGATTGAGATTGACTCAAGATTTATCCTCGAGATTTATCCTTGGTCACCCTGTAGTGCCTCACTCCTCCCTAGCAATTTTTATCATCGGCGCAGACTAATTTGAATGAATTACAAAAAAATAACCACTTTCAAGAATAACCATACGTTTTCGCGCGAATTATCGCTGACCTTAAAACAAATCCGCTATTTAAAAAAAATCACTCGTTTGCCTAATTAGTCGTATCAACCACATTTTAATTTTCGAATTAACGCTGCACACTATTAATTTCGACCGAATTGAAAGGCGGCATTGAATGCAAATGCAATGATAAAAATATAAAATATTTATGTGAAATATTCTATGCCCTTCGAATTTGCATTCATTGAATGCATTTTTAAATGTAACACTTTTGTTTGGTTTTCTCTAAAAGTTTTACCTCTATCTCTAACAGTTTTACCTGTCCCTACAGATTTACTATCTACTATCTACTATCGTTGGACTACTTAGTAACAATTTCCTTATTATAAACTCTCTTTCTTGTTTGATTGATGGCCGATGGTTTGCGGACTCTCCGCAGCCCAAGAAGTCATCTTTATTTAATTTAGCGCTGGCCGGAGGGGCCTCATCTGGCGCGAATGCGGACGTTCGAAAATATAAATTGCTTTTCCGCTTTTGGCTTCGAGTTTTACATTTTTTTTTTTCGTTTTTGACGGCGTTTTAAATGCAGTTGTTGAAAATTCTTTAATAATTATTTCGATCATTATAAGTTTTGTCGTGTGGATTGCAATTAGTTTTGCAATCGTGCAAGTGCCTGTGTGAACATGTAGAAGAGCGTTTCATAAAAATAGGGAGCAAAGTAATGAGTTTTTGGGCAAAATCACGATTTACTTGGGCATAAAACCGCGCACCAAAATTTAATTCGGATTTCGTGTTATCCGCAAGCCGTTCTCGATGAGAAAATTTAATTCGAAAATAATGATAATATTAAAAAAATATCTTTATAACAATGCACTGTAAATATGGGACTTGCTCGAATGAACTTTCTCAAATATGGTAATGGTATATTTGTTCAATGCAATTTCACAAACCATTAATAACGGCGAGGTCGAAAATGCCACTATACAAAATTTTAATTAAACAACATTACATATGAACCGTTTTCTCAAAATTTTTGCGAGCTTATTAGTTCTTTATTATTACTTAATTTGTGAACCTGTCTAGTAAATAGTTACATAATAAAATTCTTTCTTTAAATCTCTCTTAAATGCTATAAACACTGGTAATGGTAAACTGGTAAAAAATGCTATAAATACCTACCCTTAAAATAATTGACTAAATTTGGCTAAATATGACAAATGTAATTACCATTTTTTTATGCATTCCGCACACAAAATGGACTTTTTCTAACCCCGGAGCGACTCGAAACTCCCCCAAAAGGATACCCCGAAGTCGCACATTTATTCCTCGAAAACCTATATAAAAAGACTATCTTGAGTGAACGAGGAATTTCCAAACCGCAACCGTTCCAAAAATTATTATCTATACCTTTCAAACCGCCGACCATCGGCACACGCAAGGGTGTAATTTCGGTTCGATTTTATTTCGAAATAATTTCACCTTCGAGCGAAAATTTAACTAAATTATCTATATTAATTTTCAACACGTCGTCCGGTCTAATCTGCGATTATTTGCCTAGGGATTTTCGTCGAACAAATTTGACATAATGAAGATGTTAAAAATTTATGTAAATCGAAATCATAGTATGCAAATTGTTATAGGATATGCGGATAAAGATTGCAAGGAAAGAAACACTGAAAGAAATATGGAATATGGAAAGAAGACTGAAGTTGTCAAGAGGGTATAGTTTATTTCTATAAACAGATGGAATAAAATGTGACTAAATTGGAGAAGAAAGATCTATGGAAAAGGGAAAAATAGAGTAGTACTGATAAAGAGAACAGAAGAAGCTAAAACTGGAGGAGCTGATAAGTAAAGTTAATCAGAACTAGGTCATCAGAAAGAAAACAACACTTTATTTCAATATTCCCAGAATTTTCAGTAACATTTTATCATAATGTTTCTGTTAGAATTATTACTTATAATACACCTACAATTGCATTAAATTGCATCGACCTCTATTCGAGCAGACCGAGGGGGAGAATTATTGACCGAAACGTTTCGAAAAAAACATAAAATTTAACGTACAAGGCCGAAACCGCGGGCTCATTAGAAAAACAACTAGGTAGGCGTGTGTAACCTCCAAATTGGAAGCAGTTTGTATGGTAATAGCTAATGCATTGTTCGCCCGATCGCGATATATTTGAATAAAATAGCGTCACCGGTCATTGTCAATGACAATGGAATGATCGTTAAAGGAGAGGGCAAAAAAATATGAATTTCAGGTTCGATCTGGTAGAAATGCAGGAAAATTTGATTACCAATTCATATACCAAAGCTAAATTTCATGGTCATAGGCCAAACCTGTGAAAATTCAATTACAGATCTATAAATATACTACTTCTATGTAGGAAAAGATATTTTATTCAATATACTAGCATGGAAGATTTTGGAGCCATTTGAGCAGTCTTCTTTCAGGAGTAATAAATTAAAGGAAGTATTAAAGTCTTTTGAACACTATTAACAAGAATCAGCCCTAATGGAATAAACACAATTTAAAAAACGTGTAATTTGGAAATAATTTGGTTCCCCCGCCAATGAGACGAAATTATTTGCGCGACAAATTCGCGGAGATGAATTTGTTTTTAAATATCTTTTTTTTTTCGGTTGTATGGGTTATTGCATCGGGGCCAATGCACTTTACACTTTACAGCCGAATCCACCGGGCGTTACTTGCAACTTATAAATAAGAATTTCGATAATTGTTTTTAAGGTTTTTTTTTGGTCGACTCGAAGCCAAATATTTGATTTCGTAAAAACCATTTCGGCTGTTTACACAGCGCATAAATATTTCGTATAGTTTACTCGAGAGGTCGTTGCATTTTTCGGGCTATTAAAATTAGGTGCCCAAAAAACGACCGGCGCTGTTTGTTTTATGATTTAAGAGGTCGATGCATTTCTATGACTGGTTTTGGGCGTTTCAAGGTTACTTCGCAAAGTATCCGATCCGCATAAAAATCCTTTTTGCAGGATTAATTATAAAAGTGCCCGCTAATAAGTTAAGTTGATACAATATACAGGGTTTTTCACTGTAGCAGTTCATTAGAACTCAGAAGATTTTGTCTAAATACTTCGGACGAAATTAATTTAGCGAAATTGGAGTGCAAACGGCGTACTCCTCTCTTTCGGGCCAAGAACGCCGTAGAAAAACGTCCGTAATGACGTCGGATCTCGCGGGTCCTAATATCTTTCAGTTCGAAAGGAAGACATGGGCGTGCAGGAAAAAAATCCGGGCGAACATATGGCCGCGCAACCGTGGGAAACTAATTTTTATATCCCAAATACTCATAAATAATAGGAGTAGGTTTTTCGTTTTCGCGGTTTCGCCACGCCAGGCGAAGAATTCGTGTGTAATTAAATTGAAACATTGAATGGAATTAGTAAAATTTTTAAAAATAATTATTATATTACACGTTAATCACAGGTAAAAGTTTAATATGAG